ATGACTATCCTTCTTTAACACCCTCTGGCCGACCATGCCCAAAAGCAAGGCCTCTGGTTTCTTAGGGAAGGTATACTTAAATACCTTTTTCAGCTCATTGTATATCATTTCCCAGAAAGCCTTAACCTTAGGGCATGTCCACCAGGGTGAAAGAACGTTCCTTCAGTTTCTTTGCATTTCCAACATTTGTTATCAGGCAAATGGTATATTTTTGCAAGCTTGACTGGGGTCATGTACCACCTGTAAATCATTTTCATAATATTTTCTTTTAAGGCATTGCATGCCGTGAACTTCACACCGGTGGTCCATAACCTTTCCCAGTCAGCAAACATAATGTTATACCCAATGTCCTGTGCCCATTTTATCATAGCTGATTTGACCGTTTCATCTTGTGTATTCCATTTTAGCAGCAAGTTGTACATTTTTGAAAGAACCTTAGTTTTAGGTTCTAACAGTTCTGTTTCTAACTTTGACTTTTCCACCTGGAATCCTATCTTTTTGTCAAGTTAAAAACCTCTTTAATCTGAGCGTAGTGTAGCCAATCTCTCACTTTATCTTTTATTTTTTCCAAACTCTGCAGCTTCCAAGAGTCTCCATCCTTTTCTAATATTTCCCAATATTTCGGCCATTTGGCCTCCATATTGAGTCTTTTCTGGGCCTTAGCTTCCATTGGTGACAGCCACCTTGGGCTCTTATTCTCTAGTAGGTCTTTGTATTTTATCCAAACATTAAACAGTGCTTTCCTAACAATCTTTCTCTCTATGATCGTACATTTTTTATGTATGCAACAACAGCAGCAAGGATACTTATAGCCAAACATTGGAAAACTCAAGACTTGCCCACGCTGGAAGAATGGCAGATGCAACTGATAGATTATATGGAATTAGCAGAAATGACTGGCAGAATCCGCGACCTGGGAGAAGAAGCAGTGGAAGAGGATTGGAAGAAATTCAAGGACTACTTACAAAACATTGTAAATTGTATGAATGTTAAGATGATGCAAGAGTAAAAATAAACGTGGCATCAGTAAGTTAGTTGATAAGAATTTGAGAATAGATGAAATTTGAGAAAAAGTAAATTTTTTGGTTAATATTATGCCTAATTAAGTATTCAAGATTTTGGAAAATAAATTTAAATTTAGAGACATAATATGGGAAAAATACAAATAAGAAATTGAAACAAGGTGATAATTTGCTGTTTAGAATTTTATAAATTTGGAATGCAGGAACGAAAGATGTGAGGAAGTCCAAAAAGTGAGGAAAGTATGAAAATTAAGAATTTGGATTTGATGTTATATTTTTTTCCCCTTTTTGTATGCTTTTCTATGTTTTTTCTTTGTTGTTTGTTTATTGTATTGTGGGGGACGGGATTATATGTGTTGGGTGATAAATGTTTAAAACTTTGAATAAATATTATAATAATAAAAAAAATATTTTAAAAAAAATGTTCCGGGGTGCAATGGGAGGGCATCTGATGAAGTCTGGACTGTTTCCCCACTGCCATTGTCTTAATCAGATTAACAGCCTGCTCATAAACTCCAAAAGGCCTAGGCAACTGGGATGCTAGACAGCTTTTCATATACTGTATATTTTTTCCACAGGTTGTTGCCAGGAATCCCACTCACTCCTCCTCTCCTTGCCTCCTCCTCCTCTTCAAACCCCCATAGCTGTCTGAGTGCAGATGAAGAGCAGGCAGGGCTTGTGCAAGTAGAAATTGCCAAAAACACCATATTTATACATATGTGGCTGGAACAGTCCAACCGCGTGGAAACCAAGTGGGAACAACATGTGGTGGGATTGTGTCTCTCCCCCCCCCCCGCCCCCTTTGCAACCTGGTGTGTGAAAAGCTTTTCCATATCCATTATGTCATGTCGCATTAAAGCACAAGTTTGTAAGATCTCTCTCTGATAAAGGGGGGCTGAATTACCTTGTTGTTCTACATCCCCCTTTCCTGTGTGTTTTTCAAGGACCTCTCCCCCCTCATTTTAAAGTCTCAGCTCATGCCAAGACAAATCTGACTTGGCTAAGTATGTGTCTATTAAGAGTATAATCCCAGTGCAAATGTAACCTCTGTCATACTGGTTCACTGATTTTTTGCAGCCTTTATACTTGAGTCCCTGCTGGACTTTTTCCACACGATCCAGAGTCAGACTTTGGAACTTGCTCCCAGAGGAGGCAGTGATAGCCACCAATTTGGATGGGCATGAAAAGAGGATTAGACAAATTCATGGAGGGAGCATCTTTTTTAAAAACATACCTAAAAGATGCACAAAAATAACCTTTTTATAGATGGATATGTTCAGGACCGTGTACTCTGTTAAAAATGCGCAAACACAATTCATGTTTTGTTTTTTTTGTCCACCTTTTGTGCATTCTTTCAAAAAATCTGCACAAAAGTGACTGAACAAATCTAAGACTGGAGAACCAAAGGAGCTGAAGAAGGATCAGAAACAGTTGCTTAGCTCACGTCCAGGTTCGGCAAATTTAAGTGGACTTAGGGTGCATTTTTACAATTGCAGCACAAGTTCTATAAATAGGAAACCATTGTAAATATTTTAACGAGAAAAAGTTAGAGATTTAAGAGTGCTTTTTCAAATGCACTAATACACCACATCTCCCACTGTTTGGTCATTCTCTCCCCCCCCCCCTTTCCAGCTGTGGGAAGAGAAAGAGAATTTCAGTCCCAATATAGTCTTTTTGCTTAACTTGCATAATATAGGAACAGGAAGTGCAGCTCTAGATCAGTTTCAGCATGCCTTTCTTCCTTCATATCTCTTTCTCTCAGTGGCAAAAAGTAGAACATGGAATATACATCTGTGGCACAGTAATAGTATTTTAAATTTGTTGCAGTTCTGAGTGCTCCTATGTTTGTTTTCACAAACCCTGGGGAGATTCCCCAAAGAGCTGCAAAAGGCACTAAAGGACAACTGGAATGATAAAAGCCACCAGAGGAAAGAACGACAATGGACCGGGGCTTTTACTGTTTCAATGTCCCAACTAAACATTAGCAAGAACTTTCTGACAATAAAAACTGTTCGACTGTGGGATGGACTCCATTGTAAGCTGGTGGACTCTCTTTCCATGGTGGTTTGTAAGCAGGTGTTGGATGGCCATCTGTCAGGGGTTCGTTAGCTGTGATTCCTGCATTGCAAGGGGTTTGACTGGATGACCCTTGGGGATCCCTTCCAACTGTGCAGTTCTATGCTTCTTAGTTTACCAGAACGAAAACCCAAAACACAACGATGGTGATAAGGCTGAACTTTAAATTGTGGATGGTTGGAGAGAATTCCCCACTTTGCTCTCAGGGAGTGGCTGGGTGTTAAGCCAAAGTATAGTTTGTAGTGTCAGTGTGTGGATGCTCAGGGAAAAGATGACAGCCACTAGGTAACCTTATAGAAGTTTATAAAATCATGCATGGCATAGAGGAAGTGGATAGAGAAAAGTGTCGTCGTCCCCCGCCCTCTCATAAAACTAGAGATTGCTGGTGCCCAGTGATGCTGAATGTTGGAAGATTCAGAACAGATAAAAGGAAGTAATTCTTCACACAGCACAGAGTTCAGCTGTGGAACTTGCTCCCCAGGAGGTAGTGATTGCTATCAACCTAGATTACTTTCAAAAAGGATTAGACAAATTCATGGATAGGACTGTGGAAGGCTACTAGCCACGATGGAGTTGGATAGTTGGAGGCACCTGTGCTTTTGAATACCAGTTGCTGGAAACCATAGAAGGTGAGTATGCTTTGGTGCTTGAATCCTGCTTGTGGGTTTCCCACAGACCACTGTGAGAAGAAGAGGATGCTGAACTGGATGGGCCATTGGCCCAATCCAGCAGAGCTCAGCTGCCACACATGACTGAGCTAATAGTGTGTGGTCTGAATCTGGTGCTTTGTTCCTCAAATGTGACTTTAAAGCTTGAGGTGAAGGAGGACTGCTTAACCACAAGCCTAGGTTAGATTATGCATAAAGCCAAACCTTGGTGCAGTGTGATGTAGCAGTTGAACTACAAAAACTGAGGTTTGAGCTTCCTCTGTCATTCAAGCCAGGCTGTGGCTCTTCTTGGACACGAATCCATGGTAGTAAATGAATGAGCCTTGGGCTCATGCATGCTTCCAGTGCCACAGCAGCAGGAAGGAGATCAGAAGCATCTGTGTTAGGTTACCTGCAGCTTCCTATTTGTGTTCCAGTAAACCATAGTTTACTGGATAGGGACGCGGGTGGCGCTGTGGGTAAAAAGCCTCAGCGCCTAGGGCTTGCCGATCAAAAGGTCGGCGGTTCGAATCCCTGCAGCGGGGTGCGCTCCTGTTGTTTGGTCCCAGCGCCTGCCAACCTAGCAGTTCGAAAGCACCCCCGGGTGCAAGTAGATAAATAGGGACCGCTTACTAGCGGGAAGGTAAACGGCGTTTCCGTGTGCGGCTCTGGCTCGCCAGATGCAGCTTGTCACGCTGGCCACGTGACCCGGAAGTGTCTCTGGACAGCGCTGGCCCCCGGCCTCTTGAGTGAGATGGGCGCACAACCCTAGAGTCTGTCAAGACTGGCCCGTACGGGCAGGGGTACCTTTACCTTTAAACCATAGTTTGATGTGACGCGCTGAGGCCAATCCTAAAATGAAAGAAGGGGGAAGATGTGATCCCACGGTTCACCTGAGCCCATTATTGTAAGGTTATGCTTTGGATTGAACCAATGGCTAATCTAGTCCATCATCCTCTTCCCACAGTGACTAATCAGATGCCCATTATGGGAATCCTGTATGCAGGATTCAGGCACCAGTGCCCTCTGCCCTCCTGTGGTTTCCAACAACTGGTATGCAGAAGCATTGCTGCCTCCAACTGTGGAGGCAGAGCACAGCCAGTTGACACGGATCAGCAGTCAATGGGGGAAGAATTGATTCTTCCATGCCCTGTGTAATTTTATGGAAGCACAAGGTGTGGGGGATGTGCAGCCTGTCAGATGACTTTAGAAAAGGATTACACAACTCAGGATTAACCAAAGTGTCTGGAATTTCAGAACGCTGTGCAAAAACGAAATTGGAGCCTTAAGAATAAAAAGGCAAGATGCTTTAGGAAAGCAGAAGGGAAAGTAAAGTATAAAGAGAGGAGGGTCAGAAGGGAAAAGTTAGCATGAGCAGATGTGTGTGTGAAGTTGAACACAAAAACAGATGATGGGAATTCTGTGGCAGTCTTTTTGGCCAGACAAGAAGCTTTGTTATGTAGTATTATTATTTCATTTTTATCTACTATCTATCTATCTATCTATCTATCTATCTATCATCTATCTATCTATCTTTCATCTATTATTTAAGAGAATTAAAACTAAATAAGTCCTGTTAAAGATATAGGTAATAGCAACAATAAAAACATTGCAGCACAGCTAATCTAGGAAGGTAATAGTTGTGTACAAGGTTAGTGCTGTGACATAAATATGTCCTCCAACTTCCTCTCAGAAAAGCCTTCCATGCCTCATTCTCCTTACCAAATTTAATGAGGGAAAGATTTCAAGCTTTAACATTGTTGGGAGATAGCATGGTGTGTTTCTTTCCCAGTAAACGTAACCTGTGTTGCGATGCCAAGGTACCCTGTGTTTTCTTTGCTTGATTGATGCATTTATATACCATTTTTTGCTCCAAGGATAGGCTAAGAGACAGTGACTGGCCCCCTGCAACTCAAGTGAGCTTCATTGCCAAGTGTGGGATTTGAACCCTGGTCTCCCAGAACTTATTCTGACACTCTAACCACAACACCACACTGACTCTCATTTGTGTCACCTTCAGGCCGTGTTGTGATGCATGCTATGACATCACAGCATGGGTTAGGCAGCAGCAGATGTTATGAGGCGGAGGCTGAGTTAGCAGCTCAGGCCCTGAAGACAACAGCCATGGCCATGTCTCGCTTCTTACTGTCATGAGAGAGCAACTGTAGAGAGAATTCTGCTGCCCTCACATCCTGGTTTTCAGGACCTGGGCTTAAAGCTGCAGCTGCCAAACTTTTGTGGGGCGTCTTTCCCCCCTGGTTCTATAAACTCATCCCCAATGCCACCACACCACACCCTATAAAAAACATTATTCAGAAGTGGAGGGAAGTCACATAGGTGTGGTATTTTATGTTCCTTTTGTCCTTTTTCGGTTTATTTTGTGGTTGTGTGTATCTTATTGATTCATTGGTTTGTTTGTAAGTACGCCTAAATAAAACGTCTTAAAAAAAATTATTCAGAAGATATCAACACAATAAAATTCAAAACACGAACATCTATTCAAAATCCGATCAAAGTGATTTCATTTAACAAAACTGATGCAGGGATACCAGGTTTTCAGTCTGATAGTCCTCCTTGCCGCCCCCTTGCCTCTCAGGATTTGAGGTAATCCCACTGCTCCCAGGGGGTGCAAACCCCCCCCCCCTACTTTGGAATCCACTGTTCCAAAGTCTGCACCAGGCTTATCTTTATCATTATTGGTTCCATGTACCCATTTTTTTATTTATTTCAGGAATAATCCCCAAGTTGTCTGGAATTAGATCTTTCAGACCAAGCTTTTACTCTGTCTCAGTTTCTGGGATCCAAAATCTGTTTGTTTTATTTGTGCATCTCTCTTTGCTCTGGAGCCAGGGTGAAGAATAATACTTTGATCTTCCTCCAAGCTCACAAGGAGGGGGAACCAAATGAAAATGGGTGTATTCTGTGATGAAGGGCCCAGTTTAGCTGGACTGGCTCATTACAACCCTTTCTCTTTTCATCTTTCTGTTGTTTTAATGAGAGACCAAAGGACACAAGCTGCTCTTCCCAGGCCTACACTTTGTAAAAATCGACTCGGCAAGCAAATAAATCATGGAGGTTTTGCTTCTCGGGGCTGCGAGCTGAGGCAACCATACGCCTCAACACCAGTCGTTGGAAACCACAGAATGGAGGGCTGGGAAGCTGTTCTGGTACTTGACTCCTGCTTTCTTCCTTCCCACAGAGGCATCTGGTTGGCCACTGTGGGGACAGGATGCTGGATTAGATGGGCCATTGGCCTAATCCAGCAGGGGGTCTTATGTCCTTATGCTTATGAGCATTATGTGACTTTCCTTCTGGAAATGTTTTGATTCCCACAACAACTCTGTGAGGTCTGTTCGACTCAGAGTTCAAAACTTCCAAGGTGCCAGGCACATTTTGCCACTAGCATGGGTCCATTTTTGTCTATGTGGACATTTCTGGGCACCAGGCTGGCGACTAAAGATTAAAAACCTCCGCCTTAGTCCATAGCCAATACCATTTCTTCTGTGTGTGTTTCTCCTTCTTGCATACTGGGACAAGTGAATTTGTTGTAAGAGCAAGCTACTGTCAAGCAATGTAGTTGAGATCATAGAATCGAAGGATTGTAGTGTTGCAAAGGGACCCCGGGGTCATCTAGTCCAACCCATCGGTGAATAGGTATTCCGTTGTGGCAACCGTAACCTAGCTTTAAGGCGCCACTTGGCGCCTAGCTTATATATCTTGAGTTTCTAACCCTGGTTAGACTGAGAGGCAGTGACTGTCACCCAAGGTCTCACCCAGTGGACATCATGGCCAAGTAGGGATTTGAAACTGGGACTCCCAAGTCACAGTCTAAGTCACTCTAACCACTACACCTCACTGGCAGTCTGTAGCACAAGATGGTCACAAAGCTAAATGCAGTTTTATTTTACTGCTGGCACAGCTTTGTGGAAGGGGTTTCAGGGGTTGGTCAAGTAATTGAATTGGGGAGGGGATATTATTGAGGCTAGAACAATGAAGACCTCCCAACATGTTTCATGTAAGCATGCCTCTTTTGACTGCTTCCCCCACCCTCTGCCTGATTTTTGAGAGCCTATGTGGTGTAGTAGCTGGTGTGTTGGACTAGGACCTGGGAGACCTGGGTTCGGTTCCCCCCATTCAGCCATGAAACTCATGAAGTCACCTTGGACCGATCACTGCCTCTCAGCCTAACCTACCTTGCAAGGTTGTTGTGGAGACTAAATGAGGAAGGGGAAAGCCATGTCTGCTGCCTCCAGCTCCTTTAAGAAAAAGGTAGGATAGAAATCCTATAAATAACAATAACTTTCACACAAAGGTCTTTTCCTCCCACTAGTAAAGCAGCAGTGTGAGCAACCATGAAGCAGTGGACTCGGGACCTCTTTCCCCCCTAACCTTAATGTTAAATCTTAATAAGCATTTCTCCTTTGTGTGCTGCGCTTATTATTTCGGAGGAAAGTGTGGAATCCAAAAGGTGCTGTGCCCGGTCTGCAGGAATGAAGCTTCTACAAATTTAAATTGCCAGTTTTGCATACTTATCTCTGCAACCTTTCCATCTTTCCTAGATTACTCCTTGGCTGTACAGAAATTCTCCCAGACTCTCCAGTCCTTTCAGTTTGACTTTATTGGGGACACCCTGACAGATGATGAGATTAACATTGGTAAGTGCTTCCTCGTGTGTGTGTGTGTGTGTGTGTGTGTGTGTGTTGCTGCTTGAAAATGTTGACACACTAATCATGAAGTTCCTGGGAAGTCCCTTACTGATAACATTCCTGGATTTAGGACACTTCATCACATCCTTGGGTGGTTTCCAGCAAGTGGTATTTAGAAGCATCGCTGCCTCCAACTGCAGAGGCAGAGCATAGCCTCTTTTAAAGACAACCAAGAATTCGTGCAATTGGCAAAAAAGCTGGGTTAATGAAAACCAAGCTGATTTTTCTTGTGGGGGAGGGCACCCCTGCACTGCGTCCTTTAAAAAGCATTGGGGGAATTATCTGCCTCTAACGGCTGCTGTTCCACCAGCGGTTTTGGAGACTGGAAACTGCTGCTACGGTGATATGAGAAGCTGAGGGCTCTGATCAAACGATCTGGAAAGTCTTAGCACTCTTGGAAAACTCTGGAAATGATAGGAAACAGGCAGATAGTGTCATGCTAAGATGAGTCAGAGGAAGAGCAGGAACACAGGGACGATCCTGAAAAGCCATGAAGATTCCACTGTCTTATCTTTGTTTCAGCCTTGTGATGTATGACAGGCATGGGGACATAAATAATGGCAAAGGCCACTTACTTGCCTCTGTACTTGAGGTGGTAGACTTCCTTCCCCATCTCCTTCAAGGCATTCTTGTTGCTGCAGGATGTTTGTTCCAACTGATCAAACCTTTTGTTGCAGCATGCAAGAGAGATTGAAGGATCTGTCATTTCTGGTCAGGCCACTATCATAGTTCAGTTAAGAAATCCTTGGCATAAGAACATAGCAAGAGCCTGCTGGATCAGGCCAATAGGCCATTTAGTCCAGCATCCTGTTCCCACAGTGGATGAATAAATGCTCCACTGGGAATTACAGGAGCAGAACCTGAGCACAAGAGCCCTCTCCCCTCCTGTGGCTTCTAGCAACTGGTATTCAGAAGTATTGTTGCCACCAACCGCAGAGGCAAAGCCCAGCCATCCACAGCATCCCCCTCCCTAAATTTGTTCAACCCTGTTAAAGCCATCCTGATGGTGGCCATCACTGCCTCCTGTCTAACTATGCCCCGCATGAAGGAGTCATTTTCTTTCATCCGTTCTGAATCTCCCATCATTCAGCTTCATTGGATGTCTGTGAGTTCTAGTGTTATTTGGGGTGTGTGGGTGTGTGGCGTATACAACTAAAATAAAATAAAAATGATCTGTGTGCCGTTGCAGTACATAATTTGCAACCCCTGAGAGTCAGTCCCAAGTAACTCATTTTCCTTCTTTCCGCTCCCTCGTAGCCGAATCCTTTAAGGAGTTTTCAGAGCTGCTTCAAGAGGTGGAACTTGAAAGATCAATGATGGTGAGTATAGGCCACCCTTTGTTCCTCCATTGGCATAATTACACTTAAGGGCTGTAGTCAAAGTGAGTGCATTCAGATTGAATGAATCCAAATTCTCACTCGGCCTTGAAGCTCACTGGGTGTGACTGGGGGCCAGTCACCACCTCTCACCTAATCTACCCCACTGGGTTGTTGTGAATGAGGAGGGGGAGAACCATGTACACCACCTTGAGCTCTTTGGAGAGAGAAAAATGGGGATTGAAATGCAATAAATAAAAGTTCATTAATTATATGTTACCTTACTTTCTTACTTTTATCTACAGGTTCAAAATGCTAGTGATTTACTGATCAAACCGCTGGAAAACTTCCGCAAGGAGCAAATTGGATTCACCAAAGTAAGTTAATTCCCCCTGCCCCCTTCACTTTGTACTTAGGAACTTATTTGTATATTTATATATTTAGCAGCTTATATAGCACTAAAGAAAAAAGGGAAAATAAAATAGAAACTTGTAGCATAAAGTATTTATGTAAAAACATTTACATAAAAATATTACGTGGGATATTTACATAGAATAGTGTAATATGTTTATCTGCTGAATACAGATAAAACCAGCAGAATTAAAAAAAACAAACAGGTATACAGCCAACTCCTGATTTACACATGTCTAATTGACAGGTGATCATGCATGCATGGCGCCAAACCTGGAAGTGACCCAAAAGGCATCTCCAGGAAGTGCTGAGAGGCACTTCCTGTCTGGAACCCTGGAGAGCTTCTGCCAGTCAGTGCAGACAGTGCTGGGCCAAATGGACTCATGGTCTGACTCAGCATAAGGCAGAATCCTATGTTCCAGGTGGCAAAGACTAGGCAGTGGTTCCCCCCAAAAAATTCAAGCCCCCCTGCCCCCCCCCAGTTCCATAAACATGCCCCCAGTGCTCCCCTACCTTATAAAAACATTTGCATAACCCACTAAGGAGGATAATAACACAATGGAAATTAATTGTACCTTGCTTCAAAATCTAGTTTTTTACATATCCAGCATCCCTTCCCCCACCCTTTTGCCTCTTAGCACCCGGCTAAGTGATCTCCCCTGACCCTCCTGAAGGGGCATTACCACCTGTTTTGCAAACCATGGGCCAAGAGCCATTGTTCAAATGCAGTCGTCTGCTGGTGTAACGAAGATGGAAAACCATTCTAAATTCATCACTAAAACTTTATTACAGAAAATGCAAGCAGGGTCAAAACACTCTCTTCCCTGTCCCCTCTGTAAAGAAGTCTCTCATAGAGTGTAAAAGTTCGCTTTGTCCAGTACCAAAAAGTCAAAGTTCCCCATTAGTCAGCAGGCTAAAGTAATTGGCTGTGGACCAGTGCTTGAAATGGAGACTTCTTGGCGAACACACAAGCTTGGATTCAGCCCAGTCCATCTGGAGTCATTGACATTTTAAGTTGCAGACAATAACGCTTGACACTTCGCCTCCTTCCTTGTCTCTGTTTCCAGACTTCAAAAGTTTAAAACAAACTGCCATAGTGGAAATAATGCTAAGGCTGTTGTAGTTTCTCTTTGGGTGTTCATAAACAGGGAAGTGAGTGTGACCACACTCATTTGCCTCTAAAAACGTAAGGAGAACCCCGCCGGATCAGGCCAGTGGCCCATCTAGTTCAGCATCCTACTGTCACAGTTGCCAGTCAGATGCCCCAATGCAAGCAGGATCCAAGCACAATCCCCCTCCCCATCTGTGGTTTCCAGCAGCTGATATCAAGAAGATATCCAACTGTGGAGGCAGAGCATATCCATCCTGGCTAGTAGCCGTTCATAGCCCTCTCCTCCTCCATTAATTTGCCTATTCCTCCTTTAAAGCCATCTAGTTTGGTGGCCATCACTGCCTCCTGTGGCAGAGAGTTCCATAGTTAAATCTATGTACTGCATGAAGAAGGACTTCCTTTTCTGTGTTCTGAATCTTCCCTGGATGTCCGTGAATTATAGTGTTTTGGGAGAGGGAGAAAACTTTCCTCTACTCACTTTCTGTGTGCCATGCATAATTTTATAAACTTCTATCATGTTGCCTCTTTTTCTCTGAGCTGAAACCTCTCAAACGCAGCAACTGTTCCTCATGTGGGAGTCATGTTAAAAAAGAATGTAGTGAATATTGCAGTAGTGCAAATTAACAGCACCAACTTCTGGCAGAGCATTCATTGCATCGTTTTTAAAAAAGCATAACCAAATTCCATAGCACATGGGCGGCAACAAATTTAGTTTATCTTAATTGGAACATAGGAACATAGGAAGCTATACTGAGTCAGACCACTGGTTCATCTACGCTGAGGGCAGCAACTGCTCTCCAGGATTTCAGACAGGGTGTATCTCGCAGGAGATGGTGGGGATTGAACCTGGGACCTTCTGCATGCAAGGCAGGTGCTCTACCACTGTGCTAAAACAGATGTGTCAGCAGTGGGATTCAAGCTCACGCCTCCATACAGAGAACAGAATGCCCAGCCCCACTCGCAGGAAGGCTCAGTTATCCTCCTTGAGTCTGGTCAACCCCCTGCAATGCAGGAATCATTTTGCCCAATGTGGCACTGCATAATGAAGTCCCACCAGACTGCAAATAAACGTTCTTAGTTTTCCACCAGGGAATTTGCACCTCGGGCATTAACTTCTCTGCTGGAACTGAGGTCCATGTTCTTTCGTACCACAAATAAAAGTTAAAGTCTCCTAGAGTTTTCCCATAGCTGGGCTATTGAAATTCTGGCCCCAGCCAACATCCAAATCAGAGGTTCCTTAGAGCACACATTTCCCACTTCTCCAATGTTCAATAAAGAGAGTTGTGGTGAAGCCACAATAGTGCATTTAATTATTTTAGAGATTTCTTGATACACCGCATTCCAAAATTATGAGACCCATGGGTGCTCCCACTATAGGTGAATTGCTGCATGTTTTTGAGCATCTGTTTCTCATAGGAGGTTCTGAGGCTGTTCCCTGACCCTTTTACAGACACAAACTGCCTCCTGCTGTGCGCAGATGTTTCTCCATTGGCCCTTTCTGTCTCGAACTACTTGTAAAGTGCTCCTCCTTGTGGCTGGGCTACAGATCAGAAAGAGCTTCCAAAAATTGCAGTGGTGGTTCCCAAACTTTTCCATGCCCCCCCCCACCGTGGTTCCATGATACCCCCTCTACCCTACCCTTATACAACCATTGTTCGGAATAGCGGTTTGCATGACCCTCCAAGGAAGACAGTAACGCAATAAAATTCGGAACTGTAACAATTAGCTGCATATTTGTTCAAAATCCAATCAATTGCTTAGCTTAATTGATTCAACAAAACTGATGCTGACTTTTCAAAGTCTGATAGTCATTTACATCTCCATTGTCCCCTGCAACCCCCTTGCCTCAGCACCTCATATGTAATCCCATTGTCTCCCAGGGTGTGCTACCTCCCACTTGGGGAAGCACTGTTGCAGATAAACCCTTCAATAAACCCTTTGTGTGTGCATTGGTTGAGGTGGAGCAGCATTGGCCAACATGATGCTCTCCAGATATTGTTGGACCCCCAGCTCCCAGCAGCTCAAGCCGGCATGGTCTTATCCCAACCATGCAAAAAATATATAACAAATTCCAGGTGTCTCTGGGTGTGTTAACACCAACTCCGGGCATTCAGTAATGCTTATATAACCACTGGCAAGTTTCCCAATGGGAGAAAATACGCTCTCTAAAAATGGTTGGAGGAAGGTATCAGTTCTGCACATACAACCCTACACACAACCCTAGAATCATAGAACTGCAGAGTTGGAAAGGATCTTCTGCTCCAACCTCCAGCAATGCAGGAATATCCACCAACCGCTTAAAGTATCCTTAAGGCAGCCTAGTCCCAGTGATTTTCAGTGGGTCTCGGGTGGTGTAAGTCCAAGGGCTTGGTTTGTGTATAAGATGAAATCCATCTGGCAGCACGTCCCAAGCTGCCAGCATATTGCAGCTGTTCCAAAAGCCATATTGGATCTAGAATGGGCGATGAACTTTCTCTTTAATAGAAAAGCTGTTTTCTATTTCTTAGAAAGAGGCCGGCTGCCTGAAAATGCAATGGAGCAGATGGCCTCCTAGTCTCCTTTATATCTCCCCATTTTTTATTTTTTTTTTGCACTGAAGTTTACTAAAAGCCGTTTGTCGCTAGCGCAGCTGGCTCTTGTGTGTGCCTAGATAAGGCTCCATTTGCACAAAGAGGAGTAACTTCTCCAGGATGATACCCCTTCAAGAGTGCAGTTGGGAGATGATAAGATAGCTGAATGCTTCCTCAGGGAAGAAGGGAAACCTCTCCATGTAGAAAGCTAGCATCTCTGGGTGAACGGTGTGGCAGAAAACGCCTCACCATGATGCTATGTAGCTGCTTATAGAGGCAGGTAGCTTTCAGTCTTGTAGTCCTCCATCTCACCTTCCCCTATCCAGAAAGTTCTTCCTTATGAACACCAAGGCCACACCATACATTTAAAATGCTAGGACACCACTTCGAACAGTTGTGGCTCCCACCAACGAATTCTGGGAGCTACAGCCTTGTTAAGGGGGCTGGAAATTGTTGGGAGCCCCAGCCAATCCTCTCACAGAGCTACAATTCCCAGAGTGGTTTAACAGTCACAGGAAGTACTGGGAATTGTAGCGTTGGAGGAAAAATAGGTGTCTACAACAATTATTGAGTAGTTTAATGATTGGTTCCTCTTCAGAGGAAATTAGAGTTTGTAGCGCTGGGAGGAGAATAGAAGTCTCATGGAATCATAGAACTGTAGAATTGGAATTCTACAGTCCAACTCCCTGCATACAAACCACTTAGTGTATTTCACCACATACTGGGCACCACCGCATAATTGTCCCTTTTATGGACCCCAAAATTGCTCCCAGAGCATTCCCCGCATAATAGTTGCAGGGGTGATTCTCAGCTCATGCATTCTCAGTATCAGTATATCTCTGTACATGGTCAGGGGGCAATGGCGGTGCTAAGAGTTCTGAGGAGGCCCTCTATTCCTTCCCCACAGGACTACAATTCCCAGAGTGGTTTAGCAGTCAATCCCTCTTCACAGGAACTCTGGGAACTGTAGTTCTGTGGGGAAGGAAAAGGAGGTCTCCTGACAACTTTCAGCACCCATAACAAACCACAACTCCCAGAATTCTTTGGGGTGAGCCAAGTCACAGTCTTCCAGTCTTTCTTACTTCCCTACAGGGTGGTTGTGAAGTTAAAACATGGCCATTCTGAGCTGTCTGGATGAACGTTAAGTGTACAGATGTTAGGAATATAGTAACCAGTGCTTGCTTCTGAGACTTTTTTAAAAAAATCAAGCTTGGAATCATGTCCTTAATAAGAATGATTCCTCTGTGCAAATGCAGAGCACCTTTCCTTCACTACTAAAATTTTGCAGAGCCAGTGGAGAGTGCCTTTTAGGGTCAGGCTGGAAACCCCTGACATCTGTTCCTTAAAAGTAGTACTTAACAGTTGCTCACAACACAATGATTTTGCATCTCCTCCATTTCTAGGAACGGAAAAAGAAATTTGAGAAGGATGGGGAGCGGTTTTACTCCATGTTGGATCGCCATTTGAATTTATCTTCAAAGAAAAAAGAATCCCATTTGCAAGAGGTAGGTGAAGAGGTTTTCAGCACTTGAGAACCACACTTTGTAAGGACATGTAAAGGTAGCCGTGCTGCTGTTGTATTAACGTCCCCATTCTGTTTCTCACATAGGCTGACATGCAGGTGGATAAAGAGCGGCACGTTTTCTTTGAATCTTCCCTGGAATACGTCTATCAGATCCAAGAAGTGCAGGAGAGCAAGAAGTTTAGTATTGTGGAGCCTGTAAGTGAACACCCCTGCAACCTTTGTTTCCCTCCAGATTGCATTTGGCACTGAAGCCTGTGTCACTTGTTACAGAAACTTAATCTCCATTGAACAGGGGTGGCATATAATGTCTTACTGCCTCTCTTGATGTTGCCTGTGGCTTGCAAAACCATAATAAACAATAAAAAATGATGCACTGGTTGCCAGTTTGCTACTGGATCAGGCTCAATGTGTTAGTATTAGTATAAAACACCCGTAACAACTTGGGACCAGCTTACCTGCAATATTGCCTTTCTCCATATGCACCTCCTTGATCTGCAGAACTTGCACTGTTTCAGGTGACAGATAATCCCCATTATGCATTTGTAAGAACTCAAATATTTTAATGGGACAGCCCCTACACTCTGGAACTCCCTGCCTATTGACACCAGGCAGGTGCCTTCACTGCATTTTTTCCGGTGCCTGCTAGAAAATTTTGTTTTCTTTAGGCAAGCCTGTCCAGACATGTAGAATGTGGATGTCTGTTTTAATCTGTTTTTACTGTGTTGCTGAGTTTATTTTCTGAGTGTTTGAGTTACTGAATTTTATTTTCCTTGCAAAGAGCTTTGAGGTTTCTTTTTAGTCGTGCTGTGTATAAATTTCATGAAATGAATGAATGGACATATAAATAAATGAATAAATAAGTAAATAAAATAAGACTTGCACATGCTCAGCTTTTATATATAAAGGCTGCAGAACCCAGTGCTCCGTGGCTCCGTTTTAGCGCAGAGTAACCACAGGTACATTGAGAATAGATGTTGCGTGACCCTCACCTCTTGGTCACCCTTCCCTTCATTAACTCCCTCATTTCACCCAACACCTGGAGAAATTCCGTGTTTACCAGAGGCCAGGGCAAGAGACTCTCAAATGCAGGTATGGGAGCATAGCTAGGAGAAGTATTTGTTGTTCCTGATTCTGCATCATGCCCAAAGCCATTCTGGAATCTTTTATAGCAGGCGCTAGGGGGGAATTCCAAAAGCAGAATAGAAACGAAAAATATTTGACTTTCAAATGGATAGTGTAATTTGTGAGTTTGGCCCCATCGTGCTGAAAACGGGGTGAAGTCATTCTAAAGTTACCTTTTGGTCCACCATCTTGTCTCAAAATGGCACCTGTTGTCCAAATGTTGACAAAAATGGCTGTCCCTACATTGAGAATCCTCTTGCTGAGTTTGGTTACGATAGGCTGAACCTGTGCCAGAAAACAGGCAAAGTCTTGCCAAGGTCATGTATCAGTCTGCTATCTTGATTCCAAAGGTGTCTGCCATCTGCCCCATAACTTACCTTGAGAGGTGTCCAGACCGATAGAGGACAGACAACCTCTTTTCCAGAATATGTAGCAGATGCTTCTCCAGAAAAGGAGATGTGTCCATTGTTTAAGCCTTTCTTGTCCAACTGTCAGAATAGATTGAAGCAGGCCGGGAGGATTTTTACGCACTGTGATTCTAGATGCACAGATCTGCTCTTTAACTTAGAAAATGTTGCCTCTTTTGTTCACAGGTCTTGGCTTTCCTCCATAGCCTCTTCACCTACAACAACCTGACTGTGGAATTGACGCAGGATTTCCTGCCATATAAGCAACAACTTCAGCTCAGTCTGCAGAATGTGAGTTTGCTTCCCGCCATCCTGTCTTTCTTCCTCCTTCGCTCCTACTGCGGAAATGCTTATTCGGTGTGCAGTACCATATGTCTTGTAAGAACATATGAAGAGCCTGCTGGATCAGGCCAATGGCCTGTCTAGTCCAGCATCCTCTTCACATAGTGGCTGAACTGTTGCTTGTGCAAAATCTGGAAACAGGACCCGAGCACAAGAGCCTTCTCCCCTCCCTAGGTTTCTGGAAACCAGCATTCAGAAGCATTGCTGCATCCAACTGCAAAGGCAGAGCATAGCCATTGTGGCTAGTAGCCTTTGATAGCTTCCTCCTCTTCCATGAATTTCTCTAGTCCTCTAAAGTCATGTAGTTTGGTGGCCATCACTGTCTCCTGTGGGAGATAGTTCCATAGTTTAACTACATGCATAAGTATTTCTTGAATCTTCCTACATTCAGTTTCATTGGATGTCCACAGGTTCTAATGTTATTGGGGCAGAGAAGGGGGGTTCTCTATCCACCTCTTCAAGGCCATGCATAATTTTATGAACTTCCCACCAGTTTCTGGACTATGGACTTGCAGTCTTTCCCAGGGTCCACTTTGACCAGGAATCTGCTGCATTGCAAATTGTGTTTGTTCTTCCATTCTTTTTGCAAGGCAACTTGATTCCCCATGTGGCTGCTTTGTTGCTAACAGAGGCCATCATCTGAGTAGTTGCCTACCCACCTATCTCTTTTCAGCAGAGAGTTGTTTGTCCACACTTATTTCTGGCAACCAAGAGACCTGTGTGTTCTTGCTGTTTAGTGACTGCTGGAATGACTTGGGCACCAGCAATCTGGTGCCTTTGAGAAACTGAATAGAGGTGGAAGCGGCCCTCAAGGATCATCTGGCCCAGTGCTTGCAGTCCAGGAACTCCAGGGAAAATCTGTGGCTATGCTTGGGTAGATGAAAGCAGGGAGAATGTTCACAGCCTTTCCCCCATTCAGTGACTGCATTGACTGCGTTGTGCTCAGGTGTTCCGTTCCAAGGGTTTTGCATATATGGAAAAACCATCCCTTTAGAACTGCCCAGGCACAAACATCTTTACCTTTCTGGTGCTGGTGCCCCGACCAGGCCTCATCTGGTAAGCAAGGCAGAGAGCGTACAGTTTGTGTGCATTTAATTTGCGCAATTTCAACCTAGTAGCGCAAGGTTGAAATTGTGAAAGTTAAATGCTCATAAGTTGCAACTGTGCTGTTTGCCCCTACGTACTGCTGCCGTCCACTTTCTGTTAGCTGTTTTTTTGATGCAGAGGGCTGCACTTGAGGGACTTTTTGTTCTCATCTTGCAAGGCAGCCCTCAGTCTATTATTTTTGAAGAGATGGTTTGAGCTACAACTCCCTTCAGCCCCAGGCAGCATGCATTGTAATCCAGTCCATCCAGAAGACAGCAAGTTGCCAACGACTGGCACAGGCACTTTAGCTGAATGTCAGATTCTTAAGCTTTTGCTTTCATGCTGTTATGTCCAAACTAAGTAGTCTTCTTCTTCCCCCATTGCTTTTACAGACCAGAAATCACTTCAGCAGCACACGGGAAGAGTTGGAAGACCTCAAGAAGAGGATGAAGGAAGCTCCTCTCACTTGCAAGCTCCCTGGGAAACCGACCATAGAAGGCTACCTGTATTCGCAAGAAAAATGTAAGTGTCTGCCAAGGGGATCCCTTGAGGGATTTGCTGTGGTTCCTGCATTTCAAGGGACTGGACTAGTTGACCCTTGGGAGCATCTTCCAATTCTATGATTTGGTGACATTGGAAGGTGGGCAGACTGCTTCATTGGAGGTTTTTAAGCAGAGGTTGGCTGACCATCTGTCCAGGTATCTTTTTAGCAATGATTCATTTCAGGGGGTTGGACTAGAAGATACCCTTTGGGCCCTTCCAACTCTTTCATTCTATAAGGGAGGCGTCCAGAATCAACCTCTGCCGGACTTAGCTCTGGACATTTGAGATTCCACTATGCCAGAAATGTTCTCCACATTTTTCCAGGCCATATTTCCTCTTCACTGCCAGCCCGCAAAATTTCAGAAATAGCTTCTGCTCATCACTCATCTCCCTTCCAGCCAGTGATGGATTGGTAGCACATCACAGGCTTGAAGGAAAAGAGGGGAGAGTCAGAAGTCAGGAGGGACTCTACTAGACCTCTTAACATGGATTTCAACTAGTTCTTACAGTGGAGAAAAAACTCGTATGTTTTTTTTAAAAATAAAATTGAAGGTAGGCTAGTTGAAATTGTTCAAGTTAAATCCTAAGCAAGGTAGAGAGCATAAAAGTTCTTTATATGCCAAGCTTGCTTGGGGTTACCTGGTCTGGAAAGAGCTTTTAAGTTCTCTGCCTTTCTGCAGGTGGTGGGATACTCTCATGAGATCTTGTAGGGCTGCTTGAGTTCCCTTGAGATCTCACGTGAGCATCCTTGGCCTTCCAGAGCCAATGCACTGAACAGGCCTTGCCCCTCAAGCAAGAGAGAGAGCTAGCTTAGAAGCCCTTTTGTGCTGGGTCCCTTTGGGTTACATAGTGTGAAAAGAGCTTTCAAGCTCTCTACTTTGCTTGGGTGGCAAGGTCTGCTGGAAGTATAGGGGATTCTCTTTGTTTCTCCCTGTCTCCGCTAGCCATAGGGTGACTCCAGAGGTTTGGCAATACATAACTTTTATGTATAAACAGAACCTCTGGAGCCAAATACTGCATGAGATGCAGTCATACTGGAAGCTTTTAAAAAAGTTTTCTGCACAGAACCTTGTTCTTCCACCAAGATTTGGACTTCCAGATCTCTAATCAGACTTTCTTCTCAGAATGGAGCTAAAGGGCTCAGAACAATTATGGGACGGAACTGGCAGAATCTGCTACGACTTTGCTGTGTGGAGGGAATGCATCTGTTTTAACAGCTTGGAATATTAGTTCCCTTCCCTCAAATCTTTACAGGTGTCTTTGCCTGCTAACAAAAGCAGGGAAGAAGAATGCCAGGTGGTTTGCTTACTGTCAAGGGGATGGCCAAGGATTAACCTCATTGAGGTTGAACAGTGGGATGGCTGCTCTGTGTGCTCTTGGATAGCATGTCCCTTTGAATGGTGCTAGGTTCAGAAAAGGACAAACAAAATGATGGATGCTAGACTAGATGGGGCTGTTGGCCTGCTCCAGCAGGGCTCTTCTGGTGCTGTTCTGGAACCTCCAAGCCCAGGGGCAGTCTACCTGTGACGACAAGATTTTGGAGTAGGTGGGTCATTGGTAGGCTCTTCTTACGCTCTTAAGTGCAGGGTCTCCTATCCCATGCACTATTTCCTTGTGTCCATTCCCAGGTTGTCCTGCTGGAACAAGCCCTATTTAAAAGCTCTCTCTCTTTTTTACACCAGATATTGCATGCAAGTAAGAGATGTACCTTGGGCAGCTTCTGTTAAATTTGTTCAATTCTGGACTTTGATGCAGGGGCCCTGGGCATCTCATGGGTCAAATACTACTGCCAGTATGAGAAAGAGGCAAAGGTGTTCAGGATGACACACATGGAGCAGAAGCCAGGGTCAAAGCAAGTAAGTGAAATCCTACTTAATGCTTTGGGAAGCATTTAAAACTAACTCTCTGGTGGCAATTGCAGCTTGTGGTTTTTGGACAACACTGCAAATTTCTGCATCTGACCTTTTGACATGTTGTATGTATTGTTATTAGCCAACTTTCACCTTAAGGTCCCGGGTGGATTACAACATTAAAACACAGTACAGTCATACCTTGGAAGTCGAATGGAATCCATTCCAGAAGTCCGTTCGACTTCCAAAATATTCAGAAACCAAAGCACAGCTTCTAATTGGCTGCAGGAAGCTCCTGCAGCCATTTGGAAGCTGTGGAGGCCCTGTTGGACGTTTGGCTTCCAAAAATAGTTCGCAAACCGGAATACTCACTTCTGAGTTTGTGGTGTTTGGGAGCCAAAATGTTTGAGAACTAAGCTGTTTGAAAACTAAGGTACGACTGTATTGAATGAATGAATGAATCTTTATTTGCATCAGCCATTGGTCATAGCAATAAAACAACAATACGAGATAGAAAGAATAGAAATAAAAAGTCAATTATATAAAATACAGTTAAGGGTTTTGAATCAATAGTCAAATAATGGATATTATTCTAATTGCCCCAGCTAAAAACCTTAGCTGCGGCAATTATAACGTTTGCTGTCACCTGCTCATCTTGATCTGCCAAGAGAAAGGACACTGTGGCAGTGGCTGGGCGACCTGGAATGGACAATAAAAGAGGGTGATAATCTCATTCCTCAAGTCTTTATAAAGAGTGCAAGCCAGAAGGACATGCGCCACCGATTCGGTACTGCCATCTCCACAGGGACATAAGCATTTTTGTGTGGAACCTGTTGGAATTGTCTCTCAAGTACAGCCGAGGGCAATACAATCAATCTTGTAAGAGTAAAAGTGCGTCTATATTTTAGAATTGCTAGGTTATGCAGAAAGGGTGCCAGAGAGTCGAAATGGGAAAGTGGAAAATTGTCATACCATGGGTGAAATTTCCTTATTGTGGCCAAGTTGTTCTGACGCTCGATATCATTTAGGTGCTGACAAATTAGACTGTTTGCTTTACTAAAACCCAAAGTGACTAGCTGTTGTGGTGATAGACCACAAGAATGAAGCTTTTGATAGACAATTTTAGTCCAGGTGCTCTTGTGACAATCTTACAGCACTAAGAATATTAGACCAGGGGGATTTGAGTTTAGGTGAAGCCAATAGTTAAGTGTCCTGCGCCAGATCCATAATTCTACTGAGGGAAGATTAGCCTCTAGGCGCAATGATGCATTTGGGACACAGGGTGTATTAAATACGACTGTATTAAAACAGTTTAAAGCAATTTATAAAAACGAGTGAGTACTAAAAATACACTTCTCAAGTGCCAATAGCTCAGGGCGAAGTGGCGCATCTCCAGCATTCTCCAAGAGCTGTTTAGTGAAGGAGCCCAGTGCAGCTCTCTTAGGGGCTGCCACAGAGAAGGCCCTCTTCCCCTGAGCTATCACCCCCTCTGAGGGTGGGGGAACTACCAAAAGGGTTCCCTCTGCCAATCTCGGCACACCAAAAGGTCTGTAGGGAAGGAGGTTGCCTTTCAGGTTTTTCACGGCTGAGACATTTAAGACCTTAAACGCCAACAAGAGCACCTGGATTTGGGCCCAGAAGCAAACTGGCGACCAATGTAGACATTTAGAAGCTCAGCATGCAAAGTGGTGGTGATTTGGGGTGCTCCTTTTTGTTGCTTCCCCATAAACACTTATAGATGACCACCTGTTCTCCTTGCCTTCTGACTCAGCTTCATTTCAATGCCAGCCTTGCTGTCACTCCTGAGAGTTCTTCCCATTTGCATGGATTGATTTGCTTTCCCCTCTAAGCCTGGGATCTTGAAAGTGAGATCAACTATTCTCCCTCTCCCTCTCCCTCTCCCTCTCCCTCTCCCTCTCCCTCTCCCTCCCTCTCCCTCTCCCTCTCCCTCTCCCTCTCTCTCTCTTGCTTTCTGTAAATTCTTTTCTCAGGGCACCTTACACCTGATGCTGAAGTCCTGTGTGAGGAGGAAGACAGACTCCATAGACAAAAGATTTTGTTTTGACATTGAGACGCTGGAAAGGTAATCCAAACTCCTGGCAGGTTTTCAACTCTTTAAGTTTGCATTTCCTTCAAAAATTGCACAGGCGGGGGGGGGGGACTTATTAAAAATCTTTCTTTACCACCTGTTATAAAGTGAGTTTACAGGACATAGAAATTACAGCTTTAAAATTAATACATATGCATAGTAAAGTACCGGAAGAATTTAAAAACAAAACAAAAAAGTAAGACAACAATAAATCACAGGTCCATGGGGACTAGAAACTTACCATTTAGCGAAAGGCTGTTGCTCAATGGTGGAGCATCTGCTTTACATGCAGAAAGTTCCACATCCAATGCTGACTAGAAAGATCAGTGACCTGATTCGGTATAAGGCGGCTTCTTATGTTCTTATTTATTAAATGTGTATTCCAGATAGTTAAGATAAGTTAGAAATGCATGGGCAGCTCTTGTGTGAAGTTTTAGGAGCCTGAGCAAAGACAGTGGTAGTGTGAGCGGAGAGCCAGACCTCCAGTGGTTCCTGCCAGTGGGATTGAGTCGTTGTTGCTGTTGTTGCTTCTGTTGAGTGTTTGGGAAGACCGCTCCGTCCTCCAGCCAATTCCATCGGGCCTAGGGGGCGGGGCCTGCACTCACACATACTCTGAGCGGCAAGTGGCGAAAATGGTTTAAAATGTTTTAAGTGCTCTTAATCTTCTGCACCTCATATGGTGGTTTTTTATAATATTACATTATTTTATTTTATTATTTTATTTCTGTTTGGGGTGGGATAAATGTTTAGTCCGGGTTGGGGAGTAGTTTAATTTTAGCATAATTGTTTCTTGCTTTGTTTCGTTATTGCATAATTGTTTCATTATTTTGTTAAGTTATTGTATAATTTGTATTTTGCTTTTTAAGGGGAAAGGGTCAGGGCTGCCTGGGAGTGGGCCTCAGCCAACAGAATGGCTGGGGCAGGTTCCACGGGGGGATGTATTGCGACACCCGATCTCAGTGATCACGGGCAGGAGGAGGAGTTACACTAAAACCAGACCATGTCATTGCCAAGGAGGCAGGCTTAGTCATTGTTGGAAGACTATCCCTGCCTACCTCCGGGTCTGGTCCTGAACGGAAGGATACTGGAATCAGCAAGGGAAACCCACATGACCTAAAAGAGTTGCTGTGCAATGCCAGGTCAATGATGAATAAAACCACTGCCATCCACAACCTGATTGTGGATGGAGTATTTGACCTTGCATGTGTGACAGAGACTTGGTTGGATGAAGCAGATGGGCCTGTCCTTGCCGCTGCTTGTCCACCAGGTTTCTTTTACGCACAGCAACCCAGGCCATGTGGGTGGTGGGGGGGTTGCAGTGATTTTTAGGAATGCATTAGTTTGCACCAGGCGTCCTATTGGGAAGACCCAGTGCATGTTCTGGAAGTTGGGCAATAGGGGCAGTACAGGATTCCTTTTGGTGTACCGACCTCCCCGCTGCACCAAGGATTCCCTGCCCGAGCTGCTTCAGGTCGTGGCGGATGTGCTCCTGGAGAAACCTAGTTTGGTTGTCCTGGGGGATTTTAACATCCATGCTGACACGACCTTACAAGGGGCCACTCGGGACTTCATGGAAAGCATGGCCTCCTTGGGGTTGTCCCTGAATAAGTTTGGCGCAACTCATAGCCGCAGACATGCCTTAGACCTGGTGGTTACCTCTACGGATTTTGGTGATCTGACACTAAGTAAAAGCAAAACAAAAGAAGTGCCATGGTCAGATCACTTCCTGGTGCAACTGGACTTCTCTGCGACCCTTCCCCTCTGCAGGGAGGTGGGACCGATTCGGATGGTCTGCCCCCACCACTTAATGGATCCAATTGGCTTCCAGAGAGTGGTAGGGGATGCTTTATCCCAAGTTGATGGCCTTTCAGCTGATTCCCTGGTGGCCCGCTGGAATGCAGAATTAACCAGGGCTATTAACTGTCTGGCTCGGAAGCGCCCTCTCCGATTGCATGGAGCCCGGATAGCCCTGTGGTTTTCCCCGGACCTGAGGGTGATGAAACAATCGTTGAGACGGCTAGAGCGCCGGTGGTGGAAAACTCATTCTGAATCAGACCGGACACGGGCTTAGAGCTCAACGTCGAGCCTACCAAGTGGCAATGGCAACGGTGAAGAGGACCTTCTTCACCACTTCTATTGCATCTGCAGAAAACAGCAGCAGGAGAAACTTTCAATTCAAAGTGTTGGTGCTGACCTTTAAAGCCCTAAACGGCCTTGGTCCTGCATACCTGAAAGAGCTTCTCCACCCCCATCATTCAGCCCGGACACTGAGATCCAGGGCTGAGGGCCTTCTGGCGGTTCCCTCATTGCAAGAAGTGAGGTTACAGTGAAGCAGACAGAGGGCCTTCTTGGTAGTCGCACCCGCCCTGTAGAATGCCCTCCCATCAGATGTGGAGGAAATAAGACATCTGAAGGCAGCCCTGTTTAGGGAAGTTTTTAATATTTAATGCTGTATTGTGTTTAACACTCGATTGGGAGCCACCCAGAGTGGCTGGGAAAACTCAGCCAGATGGGCGGAGTATAAATAAATTATTATTATTATTATTATTATTATTATTATTATTATTATTATTATTATTAAGTTGGCTTGATCCTGTCTCTGACATGAACAGAACAGGCTGAAATTGAAATCTGACTGAGTTGCCCCAGCCACTCTGGGCGGCTTCCAACAAATTAAAACACAATAAGACATCAAACATTAAAAACTTCCCTATACAGGGCTGCTTTCAGATGTCTTATAAAAGTCAGATAGATGTTTATTTATTTGACATCTGATGGGAGGGCATTCCATAGGGTGGGAACGGCCAACAAGAAGGCCCTCTGCCTGGTTCCCTGTAACTTTACTTCAATCGGCAAACATTTCTACAGATTCCCAGAATGTTGGATGTCCCTTAGTGCAGAGAGTATTTCCCCCCATTCCATATCTAGCCAGGGAAAGAAGAAAAGCATTTTGCTAGTATTCAAAGCTGTCCAGTTTATTAAGGAACAGTAACCTACTTCCTCAGTTGCATAAAGTTGGTGAAATATTTGCAGTATAAATATGTATTGCCCAGAAAGTCCACGAAATGTGATTGGTTCAATCTGTGCAAAGCTGAATAAGCATAGTGACTATGTCAGCAATCACTAGTAACAGAACAGAATTGGTGGTGCTTGTGTATTTAAATGAATATCCTGCTTAATCTTGCCAAAACAACAACCCGAGGCACCTGAAAAAATACAAATGAAAAAAAATAATACTGCAAATCTATTCAAAACAAGTAAACAAACGCAGCCAGGCTTATTGCAAGAATTCAAAACAATAACTAATAAAACTCCAGGTGGTTGCCAAACAGTGCCAAGAAGACCACCAGCTACACTCGACACCAGCTGCTAGTTAGAAAAGCTAAAGGAATAGGGTCAAACTTGCTGACAAATTCCAGTTCTGACAACATTGTATTTGGCTGTGGTTCTTCATTGCAAGGGGTGGGCCTAGATGACCCTTGGAGGTACCTTCCAACTCCACAATTCTGTGATTGCATAAGTTAATTATGCTGCCACTCAAGCTTTTCCAGCTACTAGAAAAAAGAAGCTGCTTCCTGCTCTTTACATCCTGCATAACCAGTTTTTTGTATGCGTTTATTTTCCATCTCCAAATTTTTCATTGAAGTGCAGAGCAAACACTTGTATTAAAAGCATGTGCAAAGTCCTTGGTGCGAGTTGCCTGGAGAAGGATTAAGCACTGTAATTTTGGATTCAGTCTTGTTGCTTCATGGAGAGAAAAACTTTCTTTGTTTTTACCCTTGTTCAATCTCTTGCAGACCTGGGCCCATCACCTTGCAAGCCCCTTCAGAAGCAAATCGACGGCTCTGGATGGAGGCCATGGATGGGAAAGAGCCAGTAAGTATTAAAAATGCTGCCCCCAGTTGTGTGTTTTGATGGAGTTTCCACTGCCACAGGGGTGGGGATGTAATTCAGATGTTGGACCACCTCTGACAACTGGTTGTGCTGACTGCTGGGAGGCGGACTGCAACAAACTCTGGAGGGCCACAGCTTAGCTATTCCCCACCTCCCCTTTTTAAGTTAACTTGCATGATGTTTTTTAAGTAATGATGTTTCAGTGAGAAGCGTTTTAGCTGGTTTCGAAAAGCGAAATAATGACTCTCCTTTTTCAAAACTTTCAAACATTTGCTTGACCATTCCCAGGGGCAGCCTTTGAAAACGTTCAAACTCGAATTTGGCAAAGTTTTTAGGGATAGCCTCTTGAATTGTTCATTTCTCCATTACATTTGACATTGCAGGAGGAAGAGGCTGAGTGTGGCGACATGATTGGAGTTAATAAAGATAGGCCTGGGATGGAGAAAGGGAATAAAAAAATATATTTCTCCATCTCTTATAGAACTCATGGACATCCAGTGAAGGTGAATGTTGAAAGATCCACGGCATAGAAAAGGGTCCTTAGTCGTGCAGCACATAGTTAAACTGTGGAACTCCTTCCTGCGGGAGATAGTGATGGCCACCAATCTGGATGGCTTTAAAAGTGTCGGCATTAGACAAATGCATGTAGGAGATGGATATTGATGGCTACTAACTGTGGTGGCTATTCTCTCCCTCCATTTCTGAATACCAGTTTTTGGAAGCCACAGGGGGGGGGGAGGAGTGTGCTCTTGCACCCAGGTCCTGCTTGTGGGTTTCCTATTGGAGCATTTTGTTGGCTCCTGTGAGAACAGGATGCTGGACTAGATGGGCCAATGGGCAGCAGGACTCTCCTTATATTCTTATGATAAATGTGCACTTCCATAAACTTGGCATTAATAAAGCTGCAGTCTGAATGATTTGCAGTATGTTTATTTTTTAAAAAAGGATTTTATTTTATAATGTTAGAGGATTTTTTAAAAGTAAAAGTGTTGTGACTTTTTGATAGTCTCAGTTCCTTGCAATTTCACCTCCTCCTACTTCAGGGGTGGATAACCTTTGACCCCCCCATCAGCTGCACATAGCATGGTCACCACTGGCAAGAGATTATGGAAGCTGCTGTCCAGCAGTATTGGGAGGGCCACGCCACAGGATAGCCACCCCTGCCCTAACCATGTGAGCATTTTCTTTCCCTGCAATCTGGAAAAAGTCCACTCCCTGTGGGGATTGTTCCTGGGTTTGTTTAGCTTCCCTGGAATAGCCTGCATGTGACCAGATACCAAACCCTGAACCCTAAGCTATTAAAACCTCTGCCGTCATGGAGATGGGAAGGCGGCTGTAGGAAACGACACCAGCTGGAAGGTAGAGGTGACTCCCCATGGCTTTCATGCAATGTCCACATCAGCAACTCTTGGGAGAACTTTGCAAACAGTGTGTGATTTTTTTATATTGCAGTACATTGCACATGATTGACTTGTGCAATTTCAACCTTACACAGTTGAAAGCCAGCCATTTGAAACCTCACAAATAAATTGTGCATAAGATAGAGAGCTTTAAAGCTCCTTTTGCACCAGGTTTCCCCTTTTAAGCTCTGTGCCTTTCTTTCTGGGCTCTGGGATGTTGTTGCAAGAACTCGGATGGCACTGTGAAATCTTACGGGAGCCACCCAGAAGCTAGTAAGAAAGACAGAGAGCTTTTGAGCTCTTGCCTTGTTTGCTTAGTGGGGCCAAGGCTTGCCTAGTGCCTGACTCCGGAAAGGTAAAGATGCAGGGGCTGTTCCAAGGGGGCAGTTCAAGCGTATGTTTTTTTGCTTATGTGCACCATCTCTGGAACATGTCCCCTGTGCAAGAGGTGATTATACTGTCTTATATCCTGTCTTTCAGTCAATTTGATTCTTCAAGGGTCAACTTGTTTGCCATCTTTTTAATGTACTTTTGCTTTTATTTAGATCTACCACAGTCCCATCACAAAGCAGGAAGAAAGTAAGTAGCTCCCATTTTGGTCTATGACTCAGGTAGATCCCAGATAACCCCCATATAAGTGCACACACTTTTGCCAGCCATTTGTGCTTTTCAAAAGCATGCATAAGGTGTGTGTGTGTGTGTGTGTGTGTGTGTGTGTGTGTTGCTTTGGAAGAGCAGGCAAAATGTTCTGGATGCAGGTATCTTGGCACTTAGCTTGCTTGACCCTTTCCATGGTGGCTGATGTATCTTCCTCATAGTCTTAAAAATCCTTGGTGTAGAATCATGGAATGGTAGAGTTGGAAGGAATCCAAAGGGCCATCCAGTCTAACCCCCAACAGTGAAGGAATCACAACTCATAACAGTGTCCACCTCCCTTCAGTTATAATTCCTAGAGGGCCCATGAAACAGCACTATGTGATGTTTATACTGCAGCCAGGCAAAGGGAGGCTGAGGAGAGTATGGGCTGTAAGTGGCCACCCACCCACCTCAGATAGGATATTTCAGAGTTGGGGAGAAGGTTCAGAAAAGGGCAACCCACATGTTCAAGGGGATGGAGCGACTCCCTTATGAAGAAAGGTTGCATCGTTTGGAAACTTTAAGTTTCCAGGAAAGGCGACCAAGAGGCGCCATGATGGAAGGTTATGAAATTATGCATGGCCTGGAGAAAGCGGACATAGAAAAGTTTTCCATCCATATTAGGGCCACATAAAAGAAAATCCTTCTTCACACAGCACACAGCACAGCAAAGAGGATTGGACAAATTCATGGCTGCTATCCATGATGGCTCTACTTCTGAATACCAGTTGCCAGAAACCACAGGGAGGGAGAGTGTTACTGTGCTCTCGAATCATGCTTGAGAGTTTCCCAGAGGCATTGGTTTTGCCACTGTCCATCACACAGGCCAGGTCAACCCCCTGTGAGGTAAAGAAATCTCACAGGGTGGCGGTTTTATTGCCTGTAGACCTGTCATTGCACAACACCAGTGATGGAGGTGAGTAATCCTTGCTCACCCTACCTTCGTCCCTCGGGATGGGGCACAGATTGGAAGGGGAACGAGCATATCCATATCTCAAACCCCTTTGCCTATAGAGTCTGCCCCCACCGCCATACCTCCCTCGCCCCTCCACAATAGTAATTCCAAGCCCCACGCTTGCCTCCTTTGATAGCATTGATGTTATTCTTTCCCAGCTTACTATTCTACTTATAATATCAATAGCTCAATACACACAAAATAATCAAATAAGATGGGCCGACTAGACATCAGGTAGTTATCTGGTTATCTACAGGACTACTACATTATTTGACAACCTTCTAATACAGTTTTAACTAACTAACTAACTAACTAACTAACTAGCTAGCTAGCTAGCTAGCTAGCTAATTAGCTGATTTAAATTAAACCACAAAACAACTCGCAGACTAAACAAAGCTACCATGTAACATACATTTGAAGGTGGGGGACCACTTAACTAAACAAACACAACAATTAAACACCTAACTATAGGCTGATAGAACTTAGGTGTGACTATAACACAATAACACTTACCATAAACTGTCCCTAAAAAAACTGAAGCGAATAACAAAAAAGAAAAAGAAAAGATTCCTCCCACCCTTAATGTCCGACCAGGATCCCACATGAGGTGTTATTTGTGGCCAGCTAAGAAGGTGGTATTTCTTTATATCCTCTGAACTTAAAAGCTGAGGCAGGGGAAGGTTGGCAGATTCTCTCCGCCATGTTTCTATGTTTTTAGCAGCTCTGGGCCCCGGAAAGATTCCTGTGGCATTAGGAGCCAGCTCAAGTCTGTTCAAACAACCTGAAAAACTGGACGGCATCAGGGAACAAGCAAAAGGAGTGGGGAGCTGATTGTAAATGCCCTATTCAATATGAATATCATGCCCAATGGTCTCAGGGGCCCCCGCCCCCTGCTGTTGAGACGGCGCTTAAAGTATCAAGGAAGATGCATCTCTTTGCATCAAAGTCCTCAGATTTCCCCCCACAGCCGGTGTTCTTGGGGGTCGTGAGATGGTACTTCCAGAGGGGGAAGAGACCTCTGCCACACCGTCTCCCTCCACTGCCAAGCCAGAAACTGCTAGCACCAGAGCCTCTGCCTCCTGGCAGCCCCCAGCTGCCACCTGGATTGATTCTGTCTTGGGTGCCGTGGACCCAGAGGGTTCAGGTTGGCCTCATCCAAGCCCCAGCTGCCACCTGGGGGATGGATGTCGACCCTCCCCCTAAATAGAGGGCCCTTACCTCCTCAGGGCCTCAATCTCACCTAAGTTCTATTGGTTACCTCTTCTGCTGTGGCTCGTCACCAGCTCCCGGTTCCTCATGGTGTCTTGAGAGGGGAATTCCCTCCCGACTTCATTAACTGCTTTACAGTTGAGCCATCTGCAGAGCCAAATATGTCGGCCCAGGCTCCTTGCCAACATTTAACCAAGCCGTTTCATTTAGAAGTACTGCAGGTATGTAGCAGTATTTAAGTTCACAAGCAGGTGCTTTCAAAACAGCTTCTTCAGGATCAGCAATATCAGTCCTCTACCTCCTTCTGTCCATCTAAATACAGGAGGGTCAGTGTCTTGAGTCAGGATCAACCTTAGAGCTACGAGTCTTTAAATAAAACAAAAAGATAACAGGAAGATAAGGCAGTAGATGCCAAAAGCTGAAAGCCAGGGCGGTGACTGCTAGGATGTTCAACTGATTTACAACTCTGGCTTCAATTTCTCTAATGTAAGAATCTCTGGCTGCCACACATAGAAACATGCACTACCTTTGATAAAAGGAAGAATTAGAAAGAAACTAAAAGAAATAGGAGCCCCCCTAACACATAATTGAAGGGAGCTCTAACAAGCGCTTCTCACCAGATAAGACTTGTATCACCTAATGAACCTGCACTGTGTGCAGTTTCAAATAGATGCCCATTGCTGCTCTCTACTGGGTGTGCTGCATATTGCAGCTACTGACTTTGTAGAATCGAATGCATTTAAAAAGATGCTGTAGGAATTCTTTAATATTACCAGGCATACCTTGATTAGGGTACATTCAGACATGGGGAACGTAGTGTTTGTTCCCCTGCTTATAATTCTAGTCCTTCCGTCCCTCTCACTGTGTCTTTCTGACGGATATACTAGCATCTTGAACAAAACCTCATGTTCACTCCAATGGGTGTGGTGTGACATAAGACACTCGGCAATATCATCACACAGCAGATTACAAAAAAGAAATAGGAGAAGAGTTAAGTATGTTAGGGATCTGCTACAATAGTAACATAATGAAGTATATATTATTTTAGCTTCAAAGGTAGTAAAGGCAAGATTTCCTTGTGCAGGACATCTGAGGAAAGAGAAATGAATTGAATCCTTCATTGTAACATCTGGAAGCCAAAGTTCATGAAGAAGAGTCCTGTTTCCCTCCATGTTTCCCTAGCTGTTAATTTCTACATTATATCTGAGCTTTCACATGTAAAAGCCACTGCTGGGAAAGAAATGAGATATACTGCTCATTTCCATGCTGTTTGATTCAAGGAGAAAAAAATCCATTTGCAGTCAACCTAGAGAATCACGGGAGTAAACTGATGATTTTTGGGGGGTGGGTGTGCGCAAAAACACACACCAGCACACAGTACTTTCTGGTTTTTTTATGGGTGAATCATGAGGGGACAAGTGTAGAAAGGGTGTGGGGGAATAGTAGCGTTGTCCAGTGATGTCCCTTGTTGTCTCCCACAACACCCACTGGTGCGAACATGAAATTTTTTGCAAGGTGCTAGTATATGAGTCAAAAAACCACAAAAAGTTGCAGTTCTACAATGCAACAGGCATTGCAGTGTGAGAGGAACATCAGAGGGACAGACGCACTAATACTATAACCAGGAAAGGAGGTAATATAACATTCCCCGTGTCTGAATGCGCCCTCATTAAGGCCCTAAAGAGCTCCCATAGGATATTTTTAAATGCGTTTGGGCCTATTCATTATACACCCGATTACAAGAAGAAACCGAGCAGGAATAATACATTAGATGGATCTGCTACCATAGCAACATAATTAAATAATCTTATTTTTAGCTTCCGTAAAAAGACCCCAGCATCAAAAGCCTGACTAAATAGTTTATAGCCATAATTTGCAGGGTGGGGATGGGGTGGTAGTGGGAGGAAACCCACTTAGTGCTAGTAATAACTCCATAGGAATACTCTGATTAAAATGGCCATTCCATTTTATATAACAATATATCATAATTACTAATATTAAACATCTGCTCATGTCCTTCCCTAACATTGGAATCCCATAAATAGAATCATAGAATTGTAGAGCTGGAAGGGAGCTGAAGTCCAGCCCCTGGCAATTCTCAGAAGTAAGCCCTGCTGAGCCCAGTAGGACTCGCTGCCAGGAAAATGTGCACAGGATTGCAGCCGAAATATAATCAAATGAGTCAATATATACCAGACTTTCTAACCAGTTTCTTAAATTTGGGGCCTCTATTGACTCTTGGGGATGTAGAACCTCAGACTTGGGGGCCAAATGTGGCCCTCCAGATGTCTCTGCCCCTAGGGACTGTCCTCAGATCGCTACCTCTCCTCTCCCCAGGCCATTCCCCCCTCTCCTTCTTGGTTTGCCACTGCTGATATTTTTGAATGGATGAACTTGCCACTCTTATCACTGGCAGCAGCTCTCCAAGATTTGGAGATTACTTGGGGATTATTATAATTAAAGTTATTAGTCACTTTTTTTGCCACAGGCACCTCAAAGCGACTTACAGAAAAAGAGGAAACACATACATATATTAAAATCAAGATAATTCATCCCCTGATAATTCTATTGTTTTCTTTTTTATGTGGAAAATGCTTTGAGGCTTTCCTTTACAACCATGTGGTATAGTATAAATTTTATGGAATAAACAAATAAATAAATAAAAGAAAGACTACGCTTGTTCCTGTAACAGAATGAACTTTGACTTGTCCCTGCCTGCTACAGACAGATAATCTCCTGTTGCCTTTTGTATTTTACAGTGGAGCTGAACGAGGTTGGCTTCAGATTTGTCAGGAGATGCATCAACGCCGTAGAGACAAAAGGTGAGTGCTGCAGACATTGCATCTGGATGCTTCCCTCTTATATAGTATGATTGCATTTTTCAAGGGGTGTGTGTGTGGATTCAGGGGTTCTGCATACACATGAAAATCATGCATAGCCATATCCTTGGAGGCAACCCCATGGCTAGCAAGTGAGGGGGTGGGAAAGAGAGAATCTCCCATATTTCCGTAGCCCACATGCCCAGCAGGCATAGCCCAGCAAGCAAGGCAGAGAGTTTGAAAGCTCTTTTGTTTGATAAACAACAGAACAATTGAAATCTCTCCCCTACTACTTGAGCTTGTGATCCAACCCATACAAGGTTATGATGACCCCATGGTGGCTTTTCTCCATACAGCTGCCCATATGAAAATAGCCAGACATTGCAAAACTGGTGTTGGGTTTGACATCAATTCTTGGTATACCAGAGTCTGGTCAGTAGCATTGGCTGAGATATTAACATGTCAGGTCAGAGTGGCAAAGGGCAAACACAGCCCCTACTCCTTTTGTAACATCAGGCAAATGTTTCTGAATGCATAAATTGTTCAGACTGTGGCAGGAATCCACCCAACACTCATGGGAAAACGTGTTGCAAGCTTTTAGAGTAACCAAACAAAATCTTGTTGCAAAGCATGAAAAAAGTCTGTAATTATATCAGGACAAGTTGTTCGTTGTTTACTGTTGCAACAGTTGTTTTCCGAAAAGGTATCTTCTGTTCCACGAAAAATAAATAAAAACATTATGAAAAGAAGAAGCTCTTCTCTCGCCAGGTCAGTCGATTGGGCACAAAATGACTTTAAGTTCTCTGCCTTGCTTGTGAGGGCAAGGCCCACTCAGTGTGCCAACTCTGGAAGTCCTGTGGAACTCTCTGCCACTCGAGATTCAGCAGGCGCATTCTGTGCCAACTTTTAAACACTGACTGAAAACTTCTCTATTCCACCAGGCCTATGCAGGCAATTAAGAGTACACCCCCCACAATGTTTGTGTTTTTAATTATTTTGCTTTTAACTTGCTTCTTAAAAGTATTATGATTTTACTGTATGTTTTCATAGTGTGATATAATACAGTGGCATATAAATATTTCTATAAATAAATAAAAAAACTAGAGATGTTTATGCAAGATCTCGTGGGAACTCTGATGGCCCTGCGAGATCTCATGAGAGCATCCCAGTGCTGGTGCAGTGAGTGGGCCTTGCCTCTCTGCGCCCTGCTAGCTGCAGAACTTAAAAGCTATTTTCATGCCTGGAAACCCAAAGTAGACCTGGTACAAAACAAGCTTTTAAGTTCTCTGCCTTGCCTGGATTTATCATGCACAACCAGTCTGCAAGAAACCCGTGCAAGATAAATGCACACAAGATGCGATCACACTCTACTGCAATTTCTGCAGACAGTAACTCCAGTTTCTGTAATTTATGCAGGCTGCAATCCTAAATCCACTTATTTGGAAGTAGGCGCCATTGAACTCAATGACACTTATTTCTAAGTAGATATGTACAGGATTGCACAGCTGGCGGTCTAAAAGCACTTGAAGAAAGAGAGTGGTGAAGTCCAACTTGCAGACATGCTTGCAATGTGAATAGCAGAGGCTGGTGTGTGTGTTTTTTTAACTAGCAAAAGTGACCTAATATGCAATCTTAGAATTTGTTTTTGGAGGGGTGGGAAATAGACACGCTTCTTAATCGCTTGGAGAAAATTCAAGGCAGCTTAATGACCCAAAGTGACACAATAAAAAGTTGGGCCCGGTATTATTTTAGTTTTAGAGATCTTTATCATAAAAGTGCCATTAAAATAAATGGTGTCTGTTTCGCTCAGTGCTCGAGATGAAATCTTAGACAATCAGACTCTTTTGAAGGGCTGGCAGGCAACAGCTGAGCAAATTTAATGGGAGCTTTCCTGAAATACTGGCCTGCTTCAAATGTTGCCATTCTTTCTTTAAACATCTTAGTGGGTTCTGTCTGGAATATTTCCTTTCATGCTGCATCCTGGAGAAAGCAAGTTTCCAAGCGTACCTGGCGAAGGTGGGCTCTGTTGTTTCCAGGAATCTCCCCTTAAGGGGCATCATGCTCCCCCTACACCAAGGAAACCACCCTACAGATTTCTGCTTTTCTGCATCTGAAGAAGAAAAGTGGATTTCTTAGCACAAATTCTTGTTCTTAGGAAATGAAGAAGTGTTCTCGGTGCTCATGAGTATCGGACTAGCTTTGTAGACTAAGAGAGCCAGAGTGGTCGCTGGTTTAGAGTGTCAGACTTGGACCTAGAAGATATGAGGGGTTGAATCCCCACTTGGCCATGAAGTTCACTGCATATGACCTTGGGGGCCAGTCACTGCCTCTCAGCCTAACCTACCTCATAGGGTTGTTGTGAGGATAAGAAGAGAAGGAGAACATGCCACCTTGAGCTACTTGGAGGAAAAGTGGAATATAAATGTAATAAATAAGTAGAATGTATAACCAAATGCAAATGTGTGAGGTCCTTGGGGAGACACTTAGTAACCTGCAGCAGGGGTGGACTTGGCTGATGTCGCTGGTACTTGTCTTCTGCTCTCACAGCTTGGTCTGGGTGAAGAGTGAAAGACCCCCTTGTTGGAGGAGGAGTTAGAAAGTTGGCCCTGCCTCCTCTTCCTTGAGAGGCAACCCTGAAGGATGTGATTTGTCTTCCTGCCTATCCCAAGAATATGGCCAAGTGAGGATTCAAACACTGGTCTCTTCAAGTTCCTAGTCCTCATTTAATCCCCACAACAACCCTGTGAGGGTAGGTTAGGCTGAGAATAGGTGACTGGTAAAGGTCACCCAATGAGCTTCTATACCATACCAGGCTCTTAAATTAATTTGTGACAGTTTTCAGTTTGTTTACTGGGTAGCCAGGAAACAAATTTTCCACATTGTTCCCAAACCAACTACATAGAGCAGTGGCTCTCAGCTGGTGGTCTGCAGACTCCAGGGAGTCCACATAACCTACCTAGAGCAGGCATAGGCAAACTCGGCCCTCCAGATGTTTTGGGACTACAACTCCCATGATCCCTAGCTAACAGGACCAGTGGTCAGGGATGAGGAATTGTAGTCCCAAAACATCTGGAGGGCCGAGTTTGCCTATGCCTGAAGAGGGTCCGTGGCACGACTTGCATAGCAAAAATTACAACAGAAATATCAAAATTTTCAAAAGTAGGGAGTCCATAGCTTGCCTTTTGAAAAACGGAGTCCACAGTACTTAGCTGATTCTGAACAACTGACACAGAGGATTTAAAATTTTATTTTTAAACAGTTCATTCACCATATACGTATTATACCACATACTGGTTCCTGGACTACACTCAAAGCTCGCAGGAAATGCCTGCAGAGCAATATTATTTATGGAGCCTCCTTGGGGAAAGTGTGGTGGACTGAAATAATCTTTAAAGAAGACTCTGGCCTTGGTTCCGTCCTGGTTCCTGCTTTTCCAGGCTCAGGGCAAGGATTCCCTCTGTTACAGCTGCCTCGACCACCTGAAAAACAATTGCTGAATTTTCAGTGAGTGCACGAGATGGCGCCATTGAGCTTTGAGTGCCATTGAGTGCTTCCTAAGTCTGATCTGCCAGGGCTTCAGGAGTAATGGTGTTTTCTCTCTCCCCCCCCCCCCCCCCCGCTGTTCAGGTATTACAGTCGAAGGCGTCTATCGAACCGTTGGGAGCAACATCCAGGTGCAGAAGCTCCTGAATGCCTTCTTTGGTAAGAAACAATGGTTCGTTGCCAACTGGGTTTTATTTCTGTGGAATCATGGGGATTCTGATTTGCAATTTACTAAATCAAACCAAGTTTCCCCATAAAACCATTAGGTTGGTTTATATGTGTTCTTTTGCAATGGACCTAATTTTCTCAATCTGTTCAGGTATGGTAGGAGATATGTTCTCCTTCCCCAATTCTTGGCTCTTATGATCCTAGCAGAAGCTATATGGTTAAACACTATTTGCCAATCATATTCTGGAATATCATCTTTTAGATAACCGAGCAGAATTATTTTAGCTTTCAAGGGAATACGATATCCTGACATATCAGAGATATCAGCTTGAACGGATTTCCAGAATATTTCTATTTGAGTACAGTTCCAAAAGATGTATATGTAACCTGCTTTATTTGATCCACATCTCCCTAACCTGTATATTAAAATTTATAATATCTAACTTTAATTGAGTCTACATCTCCTGTATTGGACAGGCTGTGCCACAGAATCATAGAATTGTAGAGTTAGAACAGACCTTGAGGCACATCTAGTCCAATGCGGGAATCTAAACTAAAGCATCCATGGCAGGTTGCCATCCAACCTCTGCTTAAAAATCTCCAGTGAAGAAGAGTCCACCACCTTCCAAGGAAGTCTATTCCACTGTCAAACAGCTCTTACCCTTAGAAAGTTCTTCCTGATGTTTAGTTGGAATCTCCTTTCTTGTAACTTGAAGCCATTGGTTCGGATCCTAGCCTTCCGGAGCAGGAGAAAGCAAGCTTGGTCCATCTTCCATGGGACAGCCCTTTGGATATTTGAAGATGGCTATCATATCTCCTCTCAGTCTCTTTTCTTCCCGGCTAAACATACACAACTCCCTCAATTGTTCTTCGTAAAGCTTGGTTTCCAGGCCCCCTAATCATCTTGGTCACCATCCTCTGCACATGTTCCAGCCTGTCAAGTGTCATTATTTTTTTATCATACGTTTATTGTGCTAGCTAAAGGCCATGACACCATCCTTAACATCAGCAGACACTAAATATACTGTAAAACCACAACCGAAACTGGCAAAAACCTTGTTACAGGGACAGTTAAAAGAGAGCGGAGTTGCCTGTGTATAGTATAAGTTAGATCCCTGAGTCCCCTTTACAATTAATGGCTAATACATCCAAATTCATCACCCTAATCTCCCTAGCTGCCAGAGTATAGAGAGCAAATCATCAGCAACATTCTGTAGCCACTTCTTTCTCTCTGCCATAGTTAGGTTGATTTCCTGCGCAAACAAGGGTTTCATAAATCGATTTGTTGGTTCTGCACAAAGCCAGCATTGTGTTGTAGATAATGAGATATATATTCCACATACAGTTGCCTGCAAAATCAGAGTCTTGCTTCATAAGGGACCTTATTATATTGTCCATCCAGGGCCACTCTAAGCATTGCCTGGAAGCGCAGCTCTGTGAAGGCCACTCTTAGCGAGGCGGACAGAATTGTGCCGTTTTAATAAGTGGATACTGTGGCAAACATTTGGAGGAAATAATTGACTGCGAGTCTCTCCCCACTTCGTTCCTATAGAGCCAGTTCCATATATGTCTCTTGTCCCTGCTCAAAGACGCTTGCAGCTCCTGTAAGTGGCAGTGGGCTAGGCAGTGCTGGATACCACCTTCCAAGCAGTTAGTATCTTCCAGTTCTTTTAACACAGTCTCTCATCTGGTAGGAGCTCAGTCTTTTCAAATAGTTTAGGCAGGGGTAATCAGCTCTAGCCCTCATTGCAGTCATGCCAAGTTCCGATCCAACTTGTCAATATCATACTCCAGGTGTGGTCTGACCAAGGTAGAATAGAGCAATACTATGACTTCCCTTGATCTGGACATCATCATTATTATTAATAATAATTAAATAACAACAACAATAAAATAAATTTATTATTTATACCCGCCCATCTGGTTGGGTTTCCCCAGCCACTCTGGGCGGCTTCCAACAAAAGATTAAAAATACATTAACACATCAGTCATTAAAAACTTCCCCAAACAGGGCTGCCTTCAGATGTCTTCAGATGTCAACCAGACTTCTGTTGATGCAGCCTAGAATAGCATTAGCTCTTTTTTGTTGCTGCATCACACTGTTGACTCACATTAAGCTTGTGGTCTACTAAAACCCCTAGATTCTTTCACATGCCCTACTGCCAAGACAGGTATTCACATCTTACATTTGTGCAGCAGGTTATTTCTACCTAAGTGCAGAAGCTTACCTTTGTTCTTTTTGAAATTCACTGTGTTATTCTGGGCCCAGTTCTCCAATCTGTTACAGTCGTCTTGAATCTTGTAGCATCCCATATGAACCTGCCTGGGTTTTGAGATCTTCAAGGAAGGCCCTTCTGTCAGTCTGGCCACCCTCACAGGCCTGCTTTGTGGGGGAACAGGAGAGGGCCTTCTCAGTGGCTGCTCCCAAGAGTAGTTCAGCAATGGAACAAAAATCATCCGAGGCCAGTGAAGTTAACTCTTTATTCAATGAAACAATCCACAGCTCCAGCCCGGTGGTCTCAGCAACTCTTTCTAGGAGGTCTTGCCCCGATGAAGCATTTGCAAGGGCTGAAGGTCCCTGCCTGCCCAGTGCCCACTAGGACTTCTCCTCTCCAGAGTCTTTCCCATGCAGTCTTATCTCTTCTCCCTGTTGATCTGCTAGTCAGAGGACTCTTTCGGATCTTGTGTTTCATTGGCATTCCCCAAGACACTACAGACCTCTTCAGCTGTAAGGTGGCTCAATCATAACCTGACCAAATTTGGAAAGGGAAGAAGAGAGATTGCTTTGAATTATGCCTGTATTCATGTTTGGTCTGAATGTGCAGAGGGATAAATGTTCAGCCTACAATCTTTGGAACAGAGAGAGACTGAAAGAGAGAAAGGATGCATTTGGTACCCTCCACTTCAGTCAAAAAGGCTTCCAGAGTGGCTTAGAAACACTCAAAGCAAGACTGCCCAAAGCTTATGATCTCTATATTAAACCACACACACACACACACACACACACACACACACACACACACAAATCCAAACTCAGGCATCCATTTTGAACAGTTGTTCCTATAGCCCATCTGGCACAGTTCAGGGGTAGGAGGTGCTTCGTGGAGCACCAAAAAAATGGAGAAATGCAAAAGGGGGAGTTTGGTCAAGTTCAGAATACTTGAAAAGTACAAATGGGGAGTTGGGGTGGGGATGCAGCTAATGGTTTACAACTGCTGTAGGTTTTGGGAGAAAGGGCAGCTGTAGATTGAGCAAGAGAGTTGATTTTCTTGAGACCAAGGGGAGAAATAAAGCTTGCAGAACGACACAAGGCTTCCCACAAGGCTGTTAGGAAGAAAGCAGGCCATCAAACCTGATAAAGGCATGTGCACACAGAGAGCAAGATACTGACATTTTGGAAGAGGGTGAAAAAATAAATGGCTGGTGGGGCTTTTAGAGAAACTGTAGTTGAAACTGTTGGAATTCAGAGAGCAGCAAGCTTTCAGAAGTCAGAAAATAAGACAGAGGGGCTTTAAATAAGGAAATCTGAAGGTTCTGGATGCAAGCTCAAACCTGAGAGTTCTGCAAGGAAACAATGATGTCTACCAATTTGGATGGCTTTAAAGGAGGATTAGACTAACCCATGGAGGAGAGTGGCTGTTGATGTTTACTCTGCATTTGGCGGCAGCAATGCTTCTGAATCCCAGCTGTTGGAAACATCAGGAGAGGAGACTGCTCTTGTGCTCGAAGCTTGCTTGGTGGTTTCCCATTCGGCCACTGTAAGAACAGGATGCTGGGTTAGATAGGCCATTGGCCTGATCCAGCTGGCTCTTCTTATGCTCTTACATTACTATATTTCAGAGCAGGTATGGCTTGCAGATAATAGGCTAATGTTTCAAGGTATTCTTTTTTTTTAATGGTAGAAAACCAGTAGCATGTAAAAAAGCAAAAACACAAAAACTATTTGCAGTTTGCACACTCCCTTCACCCCAGGAAAAAAGGGACAACCAGTTATCAGAATTAGAGCTATGTGGAATGAGTTAAGAGTCAGGTTATTAAAGTTTCAATTGCTGCTCAACTTACTGTATTTTTCGCTCTACAAGACGTACCCGACCATAAGACACACCTAGTTTTTAGAGGAGGAAAACAAGAAAAAAAATATTCTGAATCAAATGTTGTACTAAACTATTTAATAAACAACCAAAGGGTTTCATCAGGGTATCCTGAACCTTGAAGATATTTATATCACCCCCACCCCACCCCACACACATCCAAGGAAGTTGCTAGGTAGGAGATCAGGACAGACAATGTATGGTTAAAAGACAGAACTTGCTACAAGACTGAGCGACAGCTATTAGCTTGGGTGACTTCAAAAGGGGATTAGACAAGGGGCGCTGCGCAGCTCTCCCTCTCTGCACAGCGCCTCTCCAGCAAAGCGGGAGGAGAAACGGAGCCCCTTCAGCGATAGCTGCGCAGCCTGCAATTGCTCCATAAAACGTACATACATTTCCCCTTACTTTTTAGGAGGAAAAAAGTGTGTCTCATGGAGCGAAAAATACGGTAAATTAATCTTAAGTGGGGCATGAAGAAAGCCTTTAGGCTAGCTGTCAGGAAACCGTCACCTTGTCAAGAGAAATTGTCACAGACCTCAGCTCACAGGAAAACATGGTCGCTGACACAGCAGTTGACAGCATCCAGACTCTGCCTGCCTTGGAAGACCTAGATGTCCCTCCCTCCCTTGACAAGCTGAGGAACGCCATGGACTCTCTCTTATTGGATGTTTTTAAGCAGAGGTTGGATGGCCATCTGTCATGGATGCTTGAGTTGAGATTCCTGCATTGCAGGGGGTTGGATTAGATGACCCTCTGAGTCCCTTCCAACTCTATGATTCTGTGAACTATCAGGCATGTGGTAAATTCTCAGGATGGGACAGAATTCCAACAAGAGTGCTGAAATTTCACCTCAACTCCTCCCTCATTGTCTACCTGGGTTCTACCATAACCAGCAGCCTCTCCATCGATGCTGAGCTGGACAAGCGTATTGGCAAGGCAGCTCTGACAATGGCTCATCTCTCCAAAAGGGTATTGGAGAATGTGATGCTAATGACCAATACCTAGATGAAGATCTACCAGGCTTGCGCGTTGAGCACGCTGCTTTATGGAAGTGAATCATGGGCAACTTACAACCGCCAAGCGCGATGCCTCAACACCTTCCACATGTGCTACGTCAGGAAGATTTTGGGCATCACATGGCAGGATAGAGTCTCAAACAAAGATGCGTTCTCCCAAACCCACATTCCCAGCAGGTTCGCACTCTTGTCTCAGCAATATCTGTGCTGGCTTGGTCATGTCCACAGAATGGAAGATGGCAGGACCCCCAAGGACGTGCTCCATGGGGAGCTGGCTTCAGGCACCAGGCCCTTAAGCAGACCAACTCTGCGTTACAAAGATGTTTGCAAATGAAGGCGGGCAACATCAACCCTGCTGTGTGGGAGTCCCTTGCAGACAACCGCAGTGCCTGGAGACAGACTGTCAGGTGGTATAACTACAGCAGTGACCAGAGGAGGAATGACCACTGGGAGGAGCACAGAGAGAAAAATGCCATGTTGCCTCTGCAGCAGCACAACTGGACACCTTCATCTGCCTCAGCTGCAACAAAACATGTCTCTCCTGTATCAGTCTCTAGAGCCACAGCAGACGCTGCAACCTTCCAACAGTTTAACTTCATCCCCAAAGGCGCATTCCTGCATGGTCTCCCAAGACAGACAGATGCCAGCAACTAGGGGCAGGACAGCAGGAGGAGGGAGTTTGTGGAAATGTGAATATTTCTAAGAGGATAAAATGTTTTGAAAAATGTCAGTAAGAATGAAAGCATACATAACAATAGATAAATGTACGTTAGAGTGGGAATTGATATAATGAAGATGCACATATCACAACTGTAATAATGGTAGAATCAACAGCAGGAAAACAACAGAGGTTAAGAAGCAGAGGTGGATACATTTACAGAGATTGATGCAGGTTATTTTGATTTACACGCCCAGCAAATAATCTGCTGGAGATTTTGGAAAGTGTCTCGTCTGTCTGCCAGGTCTTTGTGTGTTCAGACACCGTTCCTGGATATCATTGCCCAATTTGACATCCAATGAACCTGAACATTGTAGGATTCAGGTCAGATACAATTATGTACTTCTTGATGTAGCACATAGGTAAACAGTGGAACTTGCTCCCACGTGAAGCAGTGATGGCTACCAACTTGGACGGCTTTAAAAGAGGATTTGACCAATTTGTAGAGGAAAAGGAGGCAATGCTCTTTCTCCAAAGCCAGACTGAGTAAAGTGTCTGAATATTAATTGGTGGAAACCATAGGATGGCAGAGTGCTCTTGTGCTCATACCCTGGTTGTGGGTCTCCGATTGGGGTCCCCGATTGGTCACTGTGAGAACAGGAGGCTAGACTAGATAGGCCATTGGCCTGGTCCAGTAGCTGGGCTCTTCTGATGCTCTTATGGAACCTCCAGACCCAGAGGCAGTCTATCTGGATTCTTGGGTCAATAGGGACCATTTGGCCACAGTGAGCACAGGAACCTAGCCCGGATGGGTTGTTGGCCTGATCCAGCAGGCTCTTACACTGTGAGGAGGGCTTGGGCTTAGAAAAAATAAATCATGGCACCACTCTTTCAAGATCTTAGTGGGTGGCTTTGCATGAAGGCTGGAGGGGACTTGGTCTGCCAACTCTTTCCCACTACATCATTGTGGAAGCCAGGTGGTTGTTTGGAGTCAGGGCCAGCTGGCTGCTATGATGGTGTTAATATCGACACTTTCTAAGAAATAAATCTCCTGGCTCCCCGTCACTTTCTGAGCAGGTCCTTTTTATTGCCAATCAGCAAAGTGCCTGCTGATTCCTGTAAGAGCCCTACTTCCTTGGCTGCCCTTTTTTTGTGTGTTTCAAAACACTTGGCTATGCTCTCCCTTGCCGTTGTTATATTGGATTCCTGTAGAGTCTTGAGTTGTACAAGGCAGGGTCACACTCTCCGATGATTAATTACTTGGGACAAAGTGTGTTTGATGGCTGTTAATAGTCCTCCTGCCTTTCCTCTGGGCAAATAGCTCCGTGTGCTTTCTATCAAGAGACCCTGCTGGGGTTTGTTAAATGTGCTTTGGTTTGGTTGTCCAGTTTGCTACTGCTGCTGCTTCTGGCACCATCAATCCCACTTGACACTAACAAAACATAGAGCTGCAATGGATTAGAAATTCTAGGTGCAAATTCTAGTGTGGCCACTGGGAACCCCCAGACTGGATTACTGCAATGCACTTTGTGTAGGACTGCTCTTGGGCCTGCTTCTCTTGGGCCTGCTTCAGAAGCTCCAGCTGGTGCAGAGCACTGCAACCAGATTGCTGATGGGAGCTTCTGGCTGAGGGCATGCGACACCATTGTTAAAACAGCTGCACTGCACTGCACTGCCCATCTACTACCGAACCAGGTTGCATTGATTTACAAAGCCCTGAACAACCTAGGTCCAGGGTAAACTTCACCTGAACCTTATAGTATCCCAGTTTGATCACTGAGATCATCTGGAGGAACATCGTTGGTTGGTCACCAAGTTGGCGAGGCTCATTTGATGACAGTGAGAAGCCAAGCTTTTAGCGTCATGGGCCCAGTCCTGTGGAACTCTCTGCCACTGGAGATTCAGCAGGTACCTTCTGCTTCAACTTTTTAACCACCTGCTGAAAACTTCTATTCCACCAGCTGTGTGCAGTATCCAGAGTGGAGTCTCTTAGGTGACTGAACTCCTGGTGCCAAATGTATTGCTTTCCTTTCCTTTGGACCACATCAGGGGGTCTTGTTGTCTGGGCAGCCCAGGACCTCCACACACTGCACAGGCTTGCACCCCAGAGAGGTGACTTATAAATAAGTAAGTAAATAAATAACCCAGGGTGGTGGAAGTGGAGAGATGCACCTGTCCTTTGGAGAGCCCCAGGTAGCTCTGCTGCTCACACTTTTGAGCCATTCTTCCCCCCATTCCCAGTGGAAATTTGGGGGTGCCATTTTCTCCATTAAATATAGTATTTTGCCCTTCCACAAAAATGTTGTGGTCGCTTGGATGAATCTCATCACGGGGACCATGCGCTGGATATTCTCTGTGCTTCCCCCTTGGCCTTCTTTCAATACCAAAAAGGATTCCATTTGGGGTTGTCATTGGGAACAATAAAATGAAAATAACAAGGAGAGCAAATTTCAAGTGGAACGCCAGGGGAAGGTGGTGTAACACTGTGGTTTTCTCAGACTGTTGAGGCTGAAATGTTTTAATTGCTTCCCTTCACAGAACAAGAAGTTACAATCGGTGGTTTCCTGGTCTGTTTTCTAAACCTTTTATATTTTTTTTGCCTCTTCTCTTTTCCTCTCTCCAGACCCAAAGTGCCCAGGGGATGTGGACTTCCAAAATAGTGACTGGGACATCAAGACAATTACAAGCTCATTGAAGTTCTACCTCAGGTAGGTTCTTCTTTCTCAGTTTCTGCTTTCTAAATATCTGACCTTTATCTAGCTGATCTGCACAGAGTGGGTGGACAGAGGGCATGGAGCTGGTTAAAAACAGCTTTCCTGTGTTTCACTGCACTTGTCTTATCCTGTGAGTACTGCCTTAGATGGCTGCTCCATTTGCCCAATTCTCTCCACTCAAGGTGTCTGTGGAAATCTTTCCCAGCTATGCAGCAGCGTAGCGTGGGTTGTCAGCACCCGGGGCAAGGCAAGTAATATGCGCCCCCTAACCCGGGGCAAGGCAAGTAATTTGCGCCCCCTAACCCCTAACCTGCCGCCGCTGCCAGCTTCTTCTTGCTGCTGCCTGGGCTGGGGTATTTACGGTAAGGTAGCCACGGCGGCGGCGGCGGGTCCGTGTCAGGTGATCTGAGGCGAGTTGCCGCTGGCGCTGCCGCCCAAACGACGCCGCTTGCCCGGAGGAGGAGGAGGGCAGAGAGGTGAGGAAAATGCAACATGGCCCAGCAGCTGCAGCAGCGGTGGCGGCGGCGGGGCTGTGAGGAGGGGCTGCCTGGCGCGCCCTCCGCGGCCCTGATGCGCGGGGACCGCGGCGAGCGCTGAGAGCCGCTGCCAGCTCGTCGGTTCCGCGAGACATGGGGCTCTGCTACAGCCTGCGCCCGAGGCTCTTCGGCGACTCCGGAGGCGGCGAGCGCCCCCCCCAGATGTTGCGCCCGGTGCGGCCGGCCCCCCCCTGCACCCCCCATGCTACGCCACTGCAGCTATGCTCACCTGAAGCTGAGGAAGTGACCAAGGTCCTTCTGCATTCAGAACAGGAGCTCTTCCACTGAGCTGTGTCCCTGTCCATGAAACAAGGAAACTTCAACTCATATCACCAGGGCCTTGGACATAGAGTGGTCTTGATGGAATTTATTGAGTTTTTTTAAAACAACAGCAACATACAAATTGTTCCAGATTGAGCAGAGCACAGCTGTGCCTCCCTGTTTCCTATGGAACTTATGCATTGCACTCTCTCTTTCTTCCCCCCACCACAGGAATCTCTCTGAACCTGTCATGACGTATAAGCTTCACAAAGAATTGATCTTAGCTGCCAGTAAGTGCCTGGGAGCAGGGTGGTGGTGAGCTGCTATTAAGAGTAGTTTTCTGGAGGGTGTGAGCTTCTTTGCCTGATGAGGACAAGGTTCTATTCTCTGGAATGTTAGATCTGTGCTAAGCGCCTAGGAAGAACCACTTTCTCATGTTCTGTAAAGGAGGTGATAGCACATAGAAAACAGGGACATGTGCCTTCTCTCCTCTCATACAAACCAAGGCAGGTCCTACTACTTACCTCCAAAAATGGATTATTTCCTCCTCCTCCCAACTGCCCCCCCAATTTCTTTTTAGTATTGTGTATGCCTACTAAGGAAGATAATAATGCAATAAAATTTGAAACAGTAACAGTTCATTGCACGTGTATCCAAAATCGAATTAAAACTATTGAGTTTAATTCATCAAAATTGATGGACTTGATCCCGTGTTACCTGCTTTTCAACGTCTAATAGTCAATAGACCTCCGGTGCTTCCCCTGCTGCCCCCTTGCCCCTTGCAGTACTACCCACTTTGAGAACCACTGATCTAGGGCAAGAACAGCAAATCTCACTTGAGGACGTCATGGCCAATGTCCCCCCCCCCCTTTTAATTGATTGTTCCATGGACAATCAAAGCAGCATGGTTAATTAACTCTGAAACCTTTCAATTAGGTCGACAGTCCAAATTTGCACAGTATTGTATTACTAGGCCCGGACAACAATTTAATTAAATGAGTGGATAAATCAAGAATCTGGTCATCTTGATTGAACTCCTGCTGGCTGTAATGAGCTCCCTGGTGCTTCCCGTTTTCAACATCCAACCTCCTCTCCCTGTTTCTCTGTGAGTGCTTTCGCGCGTTTGCAAGCTAGCTTGAAGCACAGGCTTCCTTAAAGCAAGTGCAAGAGAGCACCCACAACTTATCCTCTCGCATCCTGTCCCACGGGTTGAATTAATACAATTTATCTTTGCTTGGCCAGTAAAATGTGTGTAAAATCACACAGCGATCATTAAAAATGATTGCCAAGTACTTGCAAAGTAATATTAATATTTGTTAATTAATTAATTAATTATCATCGCCTGACATTTGCAGAAGGTAAAATTCAAATTCCTTGGTTTTCTGAAAGCGGTTTATGTGCTTCTTCATTAAACGTAAACTTAACAAGCTAAATGTTATCCAATTAATAGCAGGTTGTAATCCCTCACACCCAAGAACATATTTTAAAAATCCCTCACTGAAGAAATTTGCAAAAATTAAGCTTCGCACTGTACTATTTTAGGGTCAATCTCTATCATTGGGCTCACAAGAGCCCAGCTGATCTGGAGCAGAGGTGTGATGCAGCACAGACTTGCCACAGGTGGTGAAAGGTTGCATTCTGTGCTGAGCTGGGGCAAGTGGAGATCAATGGCCTGGAGCTCTGGGCTTGATTGAAGGACAGAGAGATGTCTAGCCAAGGAGAATCTGCACTCCCCCCCCCAGTTGACATGTAACGTGAGCCCCGTGCTGCCATACAGACAAAATAGCATGGAATCATAGAATTGTAGAGTTGGAAGGGACCCAAAGAGTCATCTAGTCCAACCCCCTGCAATGCAAGAATCTCGGCTAGATCATACAGCTTAAAAACCTCCACTACCTCTCACGGGAGTCTGTTCCATTGCAAAACAGCTCTTACTGTCAGAAAATTCTCCTTGGCTCAACAGTGGCCAATCGCAGAGGCATCTTGGAGGCCTTTCATCACTCAGCAAGGAGGCTCCGACCTCTGCACCTTGGCTGCGAAGGTGCTTTGGGACAGAGCCAGGACCCTGGGAGAGGACAGTTTCAGTCAATCAATCAATCCTTCTAACCACCAGTTTTAGACTACAACGCCCATCAACCTAGCGTTATGTGGCTGTGCCTGATAGGAGTTGTAGTCCAAAACAGCTGGAGAGCATGGTGTTTATGTGGAGACTCAGAGCTGCATGGGAAAATGCATGCATAAGAGTGAAGGATTCTTCTAGTTTAAATGGTGAGGTGGTAGAAATGGGGCTTTGGAAAGGTATCACAACGCTTATCCAGTCCAGCCCCTGGAGGTGCTGGAATCATAGCTAAAGAACCTCTGACAGGTGGCCACCTAACCTCTGCTTAAAAACATCCAAGGAAAGAGAGTCCACCACCTTCCAAGGGAGACCGTTCCACCGTTGAAATGACTCTTGCAGTCAGAAAGTTCTTCCTGATGTTTAGTCAAAATTTCCATTTGAATCCATTGGTTTGAATCCAGCCTTGGATTCAAGCTAGCTCCATCAATCCAAGCTTGCTCCATCTTCCATGGGACAGCCCTTCAGATATTTGAAGATGGTTCTCATCTCACCCCTCAGTCTCTTCCAGGCTAAACAGACAAGGAGGGGGAAACTATATTGAAAACTTAACCCGGGCCATCAACAATTCCCTCTTTTAGCTGTCTCTGATTTCTCTGTTCTTCCCAGTTCTTTTTCAAATGCTATGAGCTGTGTCTACATAAGAAACTGCTTGTATTTTGAGTTCCACTTATTTCTGCACGAAATCCTCCCTGCCCTCAGCAACATTTTAGCAAAATCGTATTATGCCACTGATTTTCATCGCAGCCAAGGGCAGCTGTTGCTTGTTACAGTTAATATTTATTATTATTTAATACAATTTATACACTAGTTGGGTTCCTCCCCCCTAAACACACCTCAAAGCAGTTTACAAAAAAGATAAAATAGTAAAATTACCAATAAGAAAATTTCAACGGGTAGAAGTAAAATAATAATAATAAATTCAACAACAATAATTTTAAGACTTCCCAAAATGTGAAAAGACGAAAAACAGATTAGAACTCCCCCCAGCTTTGTAAGCATCTAGGTAGAGTTGCCAAAATAAAAATGTTTTAACAGGTGGCGCCTGCCTGATGTCAGTAGATGCTGCTACGCTAAAAGATTGAGTTAGTTCGCACGCTTTTTGTTTTGAAAGCAGCAACCCTGGGGGATCCTGAATCACAATCTGGAAGTGAGGAGAGACAATGTAACTCCACCAATTGACGTGTCCTGCTTAAACACACACACAGCAGCTGCTGTTTGCACCAGAAGCGAAGCCTCTGTGTATTTACCTCAAACTGAAAATCTGATTATTTTTTCCTTCCTAGAGTCTGACAACCTGGATTATAGGCTGGGGGCGATCCATTCCCTTGTCTATAAACTCCCTGACAAAAACCGAGAGATGCTAGAAATGATCATCAGGCACCTGGTCCAGTAAGTTGGCGTTTCTATGCAAGATTCCTACTGTAAAGCAGGGGGGTTGGCAGCTGGCGGACCTCTGCTCAACTGTGCCCTGTGCCTGATTCCAGAAGCTCCCTGCAAGTGATCAGGACTCCAGCAAGAGTGATCTATACAAGGGGGTGGGGAGAGAGAAGGAAGGGGTTGGACACAGTGCTCTTTTTTTTTTGTCTCTGGGCACACCCACTGCCAGCATTAGGCTCCATCCACAGTTGACATGTGACTTCCGTCAGAGTCGCCTTCCACAGAAGGGTTGCTTGCCAGGATTTTGCCTTCATGTTGTGTATGTGTGGTGCGGTGTGGATTGAACTATAGACCCTTCAGAGTCTTGGCTGTTGGTGATGGCCTACCACATCCTCTCTCTGCTTCGGGGTTGCCCATGATGGTTACATAACGCCAGTTTGCCCTGACTGCCCTGGTTACCAATTAGTTTCCAGTTCAGAGTGCTGGGTGTGACCTATAAAGCCTTAAACGGCTCAGGACCCAAATACCCCAAAGACTGCCTCTCTCCATATGAACTGACCCAAACCCTGCAGTCATCACCTGAGGCCCTCCTTCATGTTCCTCCTCTGCAAGGGTTCTGGAGGGTGGTAACATGAGAACGAGACCTTTTCAGTGGTGGCACCCCACTTGTGGTATTCTCTCCCCAGGAAAACTGCTGGTGGCAGCAGACTTTGTCAGGCCTCTGGCTTTTTGTGCAGGTGTGTTTGCATTTCAATCCAGTTTTTAAAAATGTGAAGATGTTTTAGATTTTGTTTTTCATGAGTGCAGTATTTATTTATTTATTTATTGTTGTAAGCCACTTTGAGTTACTTACATAAAATAAAAAACCAATAAGTTTAATAAATAATAATACAGTGGTGCCTCGCAAGACGAAAAGAATCCGTTCCGCGATTCTCTTCGTCTAGCGGTTTTTTCGTCTTGCGAAGCAACCCTATTAGCGGCTAAGCGGATTAGCGCTATTAGCGGTTTAGCAGCTTAGCGGCTATTAAAGGATTAGCGGCTAAGCTGCTGAAAGGCTATTAGCGGTTTAGCGGCTTAGAAAAAGGGGGGGAAAGCGGGGGGGAAATCGCAAGACTAGCAAGACGTTTCGACTTGCGAAGCAAGCCCATAGGGAAAATCGTCTTGTGAAGCAACTCAGAAACGGAAAACCCTTTCGTCTAGCGGGCTTTCCGTCTTGCGAGGCATTCGTCTTGCGGGGCACCACTGTAATCTAGAAAAGGGAGGCTGTTGCAATTCTGATACGGCAAGGAGGATGTGTGACAACAAGCCTTGGCTTTCAGAGCAGGAGGGTTTGATTGTTTCCAGACCTCAGGAAAATCAGTTTTAGAAATGTGATTTTTTTCTTCTTCTTCTCCAACAAAGCACCACTCTTAAGTGCTTGTCAGAGGAAAATATGCCTGGTTTTGACAATTTGAAATTTCATTGTGCAATTGCTGGGTGTGATGTAGATTATAATTTCCAGCCTTTTTCTCTTTCTGGTTTCAGTCTTCTGGCATAGATTTTGTTGCTTCATTGGCTCCAAAGATTTGTTGAAATCCTCCTCCTCCTTCCATATTTTATTGGTTTTGTTAGGATTTTGCAAAGTTTTTGACAGATAAAGTTGCTCATGTTTGGAAGGAGCTAGACACCACCGTGGGAGCAGGGCTGGGGCGGGAGAGTGCTAGAGACCTGTCTGGTAAAGTTGCATGGAATCAATTTCAATCCATTACCCCTAGGATGTGGACAGGCTGCTTGGACGCGTGAAACCAACCACCTGTCTTCTTGATCCTTGCCCAACCTGGCTAATAAAAGCAAGCTGGGAAGGGCTGGGCGATGGGCTCTGTGGGGTGGTGAATGCTTCCCTTTGTGAGGGATCATTCCCAGACCCGCTGAAAGAGGCGGTCATTAAACCGCTTCTTAAAAAAACATCTTTAGACCCGGCCATTATGGCCAACTATTGCCCAGTCTCAAATCTGCCATTCTTGTGCAAGGTGATTGAGCGGGTGGTTGCTGAACAACTCCAGGCACGCCTGGAGGATGCATACCATTTGGATCCCTTCCAATCGGGATTCAGGCCTCATCATGGGACTGAAACTGCCTTGGTTGCGCTGGTTGACGATCTCCATCAGGCTAGGGACAAAGGTGAGAGCTGTTTCCCACTACTGGATCTCTCAGCGGCCTTTGATACAATCGACCATAACATCCTTCTGGACCGTCTAGAGGAGCTGGGAGCTGTTGGCACTGTTATACAGTGGTTCCGCTCCTTCGTGCTGGGCCGCGTCCAGAAAGTGGTGGTGGGGGATTAGTGTTCAGACCCCTGGGCCCTCACTTTTGGGGTGCCTCAGGGTTCCATCCTCTCCCCCATGCTTTTTAATGTCTACATGAAGCTGCAGGGGGTTTGGGCTGGGTGTTCATCAGTATGCAGATGATGCCCAGCTCTACCTCTCTTTCAAATCAGAACCAGTGAAGGTGGTGAAGGTCCTGTGCGAGTGCCTGGAGGTGGTTGGAGGATGGATGGCGGCTAATGGATTGAGGTTGAATCCTGACAAGACAGAAGTACTGTTTTTGCGGAAACCCAGCCAGATGGGTGGGGTATAAATAATAAATTATTATTGTTGTTGTTGTTGTTGTTGTTGTTGTTGTTGTTGTTGTTGTTGTTGTTGTTGTTCTACAAAGCCTTAGAACAACCAGGCATTTGCATATACTTCCATAAAGCCAAAAAAGCCTATCTTTCAAGTTCTGCCCTTTAGTTATTTTAAGTTTACGAGGTACGTTTCAAGGAGGGCAATTTGCCAAACCCCAGAGTACCAGCAATCCAAATGACTAAGACAGAGGGTCTTTCAGCAATCGGCAATAGAGCCCTGGGCCGCTATTTTCAAGTCCCATTCTGTTTCTGCAAACAGGTTCAAGAGCGCCAGGTGGAAAGATGATGCACTTAGCTCAGGGGTCGGCAAACCACGGCCCCTTGACTGGATCTGGCCCGCCAGGGTCCTAAATCCAGCCTGCCCTCCTGCTGCTGGCTCTCTGGCTTCTGGCTCACCGCCACTACCTCCTCCACTGCCGCCACTACCAGCAACAAGCTAGTGCACGTGGTGAGCACTAAAGACACAGCCAGCTCATGGCGCTGAAAAGGGGGGCAAGGAGACACGCTAAGAGAACCCACTGCGCGCAGGGGAGAGAGCGCTCCCCACGAGGCAGGCAGCGAGCGAAGCGCTGCGGGGGTCCGAGGTGGAGCGAGAAGTGACGCGGCCAGGAGGCGTTGCGCACAGGCATCAGGCAGCACCACCGCCGGGGTCCCTCGCAGCTCAGTAACTGCCCCTCCGGGTCTCCCGCTCGCCACCTGCCTCATGGGGAGCACGTGCTCCCCTTCGCACGGTGGGTTCTCTCAGTGTGTCTCCTTGTCCCCCTTTTTGGTGCAAAAGAGGCATGTTCAACTAGGGGGGTGGATCTCATAGCGGAGGGATCTGCCTTGTGGGTTGGGGGGATTACCTAGGGGAGCTCTAAGACACAAGGAAGTGGCAGGGGCGGGCACTGCAGGTGTACTTCGAAAACCTGGCATCAGTGGATCAAGTCTATCAGTTTTGTTGAATTAATTAAGCTAAATCATCTTAATTGGGTTTTGCAATTAATCGCTAATGTTTTGAATTTTATTGGGCAGGCAATTCTGCTATGATGTTTTTCATAGAGTAGGGTGCACTGGGGATGAGTTTCTGGAACACAGGGTCCCAGGGCCCTCAAATGAGTTTGGGAGCCACTGAATTGTGATTTACCTGGGACATGTTCCCCGCATGGGTTTGACATTGCTGGCATTATTTTTTTGCCTCTCCCTTTGCTTTTTGCAAATTTATTAAACCACAGCCTCAAGCTGGTTTATGACCAAACCCATTAACATTTGCTTAAAGCATTGGCTTGAACTTTAAAGAAGCAATCAAAATTTCCAACATTACACAAAAGTATCAAAACTGCTCAAGCAAAAGTGCTTGTGTAAAGAAAAGAGAATTAATAACAGGCGGGAGCACAGCAGTAGACACCCACGTATACATCTGAAGGATGTCAAATCTACTTTTTTTGCCACCTTTCTGAAGATGCACCTGAAATGTCTGTAAGTTTCATTTTTAGAGTTTGCAAGAGTATGTTCTGCCTCCACTGTCAGAGCCAGTATGCCTCTGAATACCAGTAACTGGGAATTGCTGGTGGGCAGAGTGCTGCTGTGCTCATGTCCAGCTTGCAGGCTTCCCATTGGGACATCAGGTTGGATGTTCCCAATGTGGGAACATGATGCTAGACTGAGTGGGCCATTGGCCTAATCCAGCAGGCTCTTCTTACGTTTTAATGCAGTAATTTAACCTCCCTCCGTTAATACCCCATCACACAAAATAAGCTGGAGAGGCTCATTTGATAACACTGGGCATCATTGGGCCAGTGCCGTGGAACACTGTGACTAGAGATTCAGTGGGCACCTTCTGTGCCAACTTTTAAAAGCCTGCTGAAAAGTTATATTCTGCCAGGTGTTTACAGGCAATTAAGAAGACATCCTTCCGCAATGGTTTACTGGTGTTTGTTTTTAACTTTTTGCTTTTACTGTATGCTTTTATGTTTTTATTACTGTAAACTGCTTTAATATATTTATATTAATGAATATTAATGCAGAAGAATCCCATGATGCTTCACCATAGGGGTGGGGTTGTTTGCTTGCGTGCTTGAATATCTATATACTGCTAAATCACCATATAGTTTAGAGCATTAAAAAGATAAAGACCAAACACAAATGTCACGAAAGAATAAAAACAAGTTTAAAACAAAAATAAATTAAAAACAGGAATCAATAGCCCATTGTGGGCTATTGTCCTCTTAATTGCCTGCAGAACAGAAAAGGTTTCAGCGGATGTTTTAAAAGTTAGCGCAAAGGGGCCTGCTAAATCTCCAGCGGCAGAGAGTTGACAGGACTGGGCAGCTGACAATAAAGGCTTGGTTTCCTTTTGTGGTCAAATGAACCTTGCCAACTCAGGGAATGACCAGCAACATTCTTGCAGGTTATCTCAGCTTTTGGTTGTAAGTACTCAGGCAAGGTCCCTAAGGCCGTTCAGGGCTTGTGAATTAATGCAAGGATTTTGAGCCTGGCTCGGTAGTAGTTGGGCAAGCCAGCACATCCTCAGCCAGAAGCTCCCATAAACAGTCTGGCTCACTGGCGGGGGAAGTGGGGTGCAGAGGGCATAACAAACTGGGTGGCGTGGGAAGCAGGGGGCGATGGGGTCCCCACTGGCTGAATGGAGGAGGAAAGCAGAGAGCAGCTAAGATTTCAAGCATGAGGAGGGCTCCGTGGTTGTTTTATTGCTTGGTTAAAGGGCCAGGAGGGGGGTGCCATGTAGGCTGGCGGGAAGGGAGAGTGAGGAGGCAGAAAGACTCTCCCTGAGGAAGTCGTGCCTGAGCAGCCCATGACCTTTTGTGCTTTGTTGTCTGCTATTTAGTTCATTACGGCCTTAATGTTATTCTGGGGATCTGAGGAGGCGGTGGAACAGCCCATCACGTTTGGGGGTGGGGGGAGGCAGGAAGAGGGGAGGAGGAGGTCACAGTCTTTCTCCCAGACCCCCAGTGTGGTGGTTCTGCCACTCCTCTCTAAACACGTGCAAAGGGTTTGGTAGATTACGGTAGCAACCTTCGCCCCAGAGAGAAGGCAGATGGAAAAGTAATATATAAGTAATAATAATCACAACCATAGCATGGGTAGGGGGTACCTGTTGCCATGATTATTCTGGTGGATTTGTAGAAGTCTGAGTTTGCTCGAAGGGAGTCTGCCTTCGTGTGCACAGCAAGTGTTCTGGAACTTGAGGCTATGAGTGTTTATCCTTCCGTCTCCAGCAATCCCCTCAAGGAGTCTCAGCCCTGGCTGAAATTCTCCAAAACCTGGGGATGCTGCATATTGTCATAAACTAAGAAGGGGAACTAAAGGTAAAGGTACCCCTGCCCGTACGGGCCAGTCTTTACAGACTCTGGGGTTGTGCGCCCATCTCACTTAAGAGGCCAGGGGCCAGCGCTGTCCAGAGACACTTCCGGGTCACGTGGCTAGCGTGACATCGCTGCTCTGGCGAGCCAGAGCCGCACACGGAAACGCCGTTTACCTTCCCACTAGAGAGCGATCCCTATTTATCTACTTGCACCCGGGGGTGCTTTCGAACTGCTAGGTTGGCAGGCGCTGGGACCGAACAACGGGAGTGCACCCTGTCACGGGGATTCGAACCGCCGACCTTTCGATCGGCAAGCCCTAGGCGCTGAGGCTTTTACCCACAGCGCCACCCGCGTCCCTAAGAAGGGGAACTATTAGTGTGTTTTTATGGGTTTGTCATAGTTTTCTAAAATGTACAGTATGATAGCACATATATTCTTGTATTCAGTGAGTTGTATGAGATCCTGCCCCCTGCACTACAAGTCAGCATGTCAGATGCTGCTGCTATTCATAATGTTTATTTTAAAAGTACTTGAGCTCTCCTATTCCAGCCTGGTATGGCAATACAAGTAAAGCAAAGAGGTGGAGTCTGGGAATCAAGTTCCTTCCTGCCCCTTCGTTAGCGGGGGACGGGGACAGAAGGGAAATACACTTGTAGCAGAGGGGAGGGCTGTGGCAAGCCAGCAGGGTTCCCAGATGAGGAACAGCAAGAGGGATGGCAAACTCGGTATCCGCCCCAGGTGGCAAAAGCCCTAGCCATGCCACTGATCTTGCTGCAGTACCCTGCCCCAGTTACATCTTCTGAACCAGGCCCAAGGGCAGCCCCACATAGAGCACATCGCAGCAGTCCAGCTTTGAGGTTGCTAATGCACGACATATAGTGGTCAGGCTCTCCCTGTCCACGAACAGCTGTACTGTGGTACTTTGGGATGCGAACGGGATCTGTTCCAGAGCCCCGTTTGCATCCCGAACGGAATGTAAGACGCGATGGCGCATCTGCGCGTGCGCTGGTCGCGTTTCGCCGCTTCCATGCATACGCGTGACATCATTTTGAGTGTCTGCGCATGTGCGAGTGGCAAAACCCGAAAGTAATGCGCTCCGTTACTTCTGGGTTGCCGCAGAGCGCAACTCGAACGTGCTCAACCAGAAGCACATTCAACTTGAGGTATGACTGTAGTTGGGGAACCAAGCCTTGCGGTTCATGGAATTTCAGCTCCAGAATCCCCAATCAGATGCTGCTCTGATTTCCACCCTAATTTTCTTGCTTTCTTTTTCCTCTCCTGACAGCGTGTGCGAACACAGCCGGGAGAACCTGATGTCTCCATCTAACATGGGGGTCATATTTGGCCCCACACTCATGCGAGCCCAGGAGGACACCGTCGCTGCGATGATGAACATCAAGTTTCAGAACATTGTGGTGGAGATCCTCATTGAGCATTTCCACAAGGTATGGCAGAGCCAAAAGTACACCAACTTCTTACTCTCCCCTGCCCCACCCCCAGCAAAGAGCCTCACTTGAGTTAGGATTGAGGTGCTTATCCCTTGCAAAGGGATTTTACAAGGGCTAGGTTGCTTTTCATCAAGGATGATTAAGGCTGCAGCCCTGCCCTGTGGATTTCACCGGACTTGCTTCTGAGTAGACAGGCATGGAGATTGCGCTACATACCCATGGTGGTGGTGGGAGGGGAAGAGTGGCAATTTAAGTCTGTTCTGCTGCCATATATTTTCTAAACAATTATGCATAGGAAGAAACCAGCAAAATAGAGCTTTTAATGTGCTTCACGTTACACAATGAATGTTTATTCGTGGAAGGCGTGTGGGTGTATTTGTGTGTGAGAAAGTAAATAAAAGCCAAACACAAAGTCCTGAACTTTCCAGAAGGAAGGGTTTGTGGTCGATTGGGTAGAGAAATTTTAATTTTCATGCTTCCTAAAGAAAGCATCATTTCTCGTTTGTGGAAGATGCATATTCATCATTTGAGAACTGAGTAAACAGCAGAGATCTGGTGGTGAAATACTGCAGTGGAAGATTTCCCAGGTGGGCCACACTTGGATGTTCTGCCTGGCAATTCTAAGGATGGGGATTATCGGAGATAAAGAGGGTTCCAGTTGCTGTAAACCACAGGCGGAGGAGAGCGATCTTTTGTGCTCGAATCCTGCTTACTGGTTTCCCACTGGGGCACTGAGCACAGGACGTTGGACTAGATGGGCCATTGCGCCTGATCCAGCTGGCTCTTCTTATGTTCTCATGGGATTCCATTACCTGACCCCACATTAGCAAAGCAATAAAGCAGTGTAATATCTGACCGATGGAGCCTTCTCTATAATGCTTCAGGAGATTACTACCAGCACCACAGCTTTTTTTATTGACCTGGAAAAGTGGCCTTTAATTAAAAATCCAGTTTAAACAATCCAACTCCCTCCCTCCACCCGCCAAAAAAGGATAAACATTTTTTAAAAGCCCTGTTTAAAATTGAACCTTCACGCAGACATCTTAGACCTGCACTTAAGCTCTCCGGAAACATATCACAAGCCAGGAGGCCAACAGCTGGTCGCTGCTCCATTTCCCTTTCTGGTGCTGGGAGTCCTCCTTGAAAGAAACTGGAGCAAAGGAGACTGGAGGCAAATAGGGGAGATTGGAAACAAAACTGTGGTTTGGAGAGACTTCTGGTGCATTTTGAATTTTATTTAAAAATTTAGAGAGTTCCAAATCCTTGATTTCAAAATGCTGGGTGTTGAATCATAAACTAGAAAGCATCTTGAAGCCACTCCAAGTCTTCTTCCCCAGTCTGGATTCAGTATATGCAAAGTCTACCTGACCCTGTGCTGTGTAGTGGTTAGAGTGTCAGACCAGGACCTGGGAGAGACCAGGGTTCAAATACCCACTCGGACACGAAGCTCACAGGGTGTGACCTTGGGCCAGGCACAACCTCTTAGTTTGACCTACTTCACAGGGTCATTCTAGGGATTAACTGAGGAGGGGGTGAACCATGCATGCCACCTTGAACTCCTTAGACTAAAAGGTGAGATATAAATATCATAAATGAATAAATTTCTCAGCCCTCAAAGTTTTAACCACTATTTCAAGCCTCCTCCCCAAACCTTCTCTTAAGAGATTCTGGCCAGCAGTGGGGGGTGAGTGGAACCATATAAAACGAGCCCTTTTTCTAATCTCTGGAATGGTGTCTTTTAATTAAAAGTAAGATGTCTTCTTTCCTGGCCTTTAATTTCTGCAGCGATAAGGTTAAGCTAGTAATGTTTTATTAGGTTTGAGTCTTAAAATGGGTTGGTTGGGTGGGTGTGGAGTGGAAATGTTTCCGTACGCACATAGGCAAACACTTCAAATGAGTTTTCCAGCAGGCATGATATATTATTTATGTGGTGAATTGTGAAGTCTCAAAGGACAGCGGAATTGTTCACTGGGTTGGTGTGTTGTAATTACTGCTTTGACAGCTTTAAACTTGAGTGCTACAGCTAAATTAAAAACTTGATCCCCCTGGAAACAAGTCTTGGCATTATACAAACCCTGCTCTGCAAACTTGAAAGATTAGGTCAATACCACCTGCGCATATGAAAAAAATTAATGTGCTTTTTACTGCCTCATTACATAGTGTGAACCTAGCTGGGGGTAGGAACAGCTTCTTGGAGAGGTTTGTGATTGTGGCTTTTAAATCGAGAGCTATAGTGCTCCGAAATATGGTGTGCTCACTGCAGAGAATATACAGTCCCGGGTACAAGCAAGAATTGAGAACTGCATAATTCTATAAACTTTGGCCATGTCTCCTCAAACTTGTCTTTTCTCTCAACTAAATAGTCACAAAGCTGCAGCCTTTTTTTCATGGGGGTGGGGGGTGGGGAGAAGGAGGCAGGCGGAATGGTGATCCCAAATGAGCTCCCCTAATCCTCCAGCGAGTTGAGGAAGTGTTCCAGTCCGACAAAAAGTTTCTTTTTCTTGATCATGCAATGTAAAGAGAGGTGCTCTTTTTCGCAGAAGAGTTTGAAAACACTAAGCCAGTAGTTTTCGAACTGTGCTTGTGTTAAAGCCACAGTCCCCTGCTTAAGATGTACCTTAAAAAAGGCCGGGGCTGAAGCACCAAGCCTATTATTACTTGTCAAGCCAGAGGATCAGGACAGAAGTGCAGGGCCTGCACGCTCTCTGCTTGTAACAGAGGCTTTGACACTGTGCAGTAAACCAGGGTACCTTGTTTCAGCCATAACGGGAAAGTGTGGTTGAAAGAGAGCAAGATGAAAGTGCTGTTGAGGGAAAGGAAGGAGAGGCGTGCAGAATGAACACCCAAAGAACTAGCCATGATTTATTAAGTCGTTGCATTTGAACCAACCTTTTGTCCGTTGCTGCCAATCTTCTGGTAATGCGGCATAATAAAGAAGTAACTAATTGCATTGTAGGAGGCATTTCTCATCAGAAAGGCAAAGCAGTGAGAGAGAGCTATTAAGCAATACTCCCCTCCATTGACTTCATGAGGCCAGCCTCATCGGGCCTCCTCTTGCCTCAACTGGCACCTGGGGGGGGGCAGCCATTCCCTCAGGCTGCCTCAGTGGCAGAAACGGGAAACAGGAGGCTCACTCTTGTCAGGTTTACTGAGAGACCAGCTCTGCCTGGCATCCCCTGGCCCTCAGCTGTGCTAGCTGGGCATTCTAGAAACAACTGTTCAAGGACTGGATTATTTTCCTCTTCCCTCCCTTTTCCCTTGTAAGTTGTGGTTTTTGTTTTATATTCTAAGCCTGTGGGGAGAGTTTAGTCTTGTTTTAACCAATTGCACTTAAGACACCCTGGGAGACTTTTTGGCTGAAGAATGGGGTGCAAATGAGAAATAAATATGCTGGGGGGGCACTTCATACAACAGTGTTTGTAATGTTGCAGGTCATTTTGCAGTCAACATGCACAGCCTTGCTGGCAGACCTCTTGGTGTGTAAGAACCAAGGATAAGACATAGTGAAAGCCCTGCTCTGCTATCTTAATTTCTGTTAATTGCAACTGCTTTTCAGCCATTTTCTCTTGAGCGGCAGGAGGGGTTTGCCACAAATCCCCAAATTTGTTTGGCATCCAGGCCGGGAGAACATTTGGCTATTCCTGTTTCCTAAGCTGTAGAAAATGCTGTTGCCATGCAGCCAACGGGCTTCACTAGAGATTAACAGCTGCTTTATTCTGTGGGGGAAAGGACAGAAGATCTTAACCTGATACCCTTTGGATGTTTTGGACTACAACTCCCATCCTGATGTTGGAAGTTGTGGCCCCAAATATCCTGGGGGCACCAGGTTGAGCAAGACTGATCTCAAGAAACTTGGACCACATTCTCAGAATGCTGCCTTTCCCCAGGTATTCTGAAAGCAGATGCCTGGGGATGATGCCCAGCTGCCACCAGCCATAGAACATATTTTATGTTAGCTGGGAGAGACAAATTGGATGGAAGCTGCAGAGCAGCTAGTTCTATGTCAGCAGCTTGTGTGTACCCATTGCAGCCTGGAAAACTATAAAAAACGAGGTCCCCTTAGTGCTATAGAATGGGGGCCCCCAATTTCTTTATGGCTCAGATGCTGGTCTTTACAACAAAGCCCCAATGCTTATGGTCTGTTGTCACTACTAAATACTTTGGCAGACCTTTGTGCTCCATGGGGTTGAGGCAGGAGGGGTATCAAGGGATGGTGTTATATTACTTTGGCACCTCTTCCTGTGGTAGTGTGGCAATCACATTAAAACAAATAAGGCAAACCAAGGTTGGGTTGGGAGTAATTGCTTCACTGTAATTTCCCCCCCATGATTTGGTATATCTAAAGCATCTCTGGAAACAGGACAGGTGGCAATTGAAAGTGAGCTTTTTAATTCGCCCCCAAATGAATGAGAGGGTAGTGACCAAACGAGGCCTGAGAGGGTCCTAACCAGTGGCTACCAAGGTGGGATTGCCTAGTGGGATGCTAAGAGGCAAGGAGGTGGCGGAGGCAGACTCACTCTGGGGGTGTAAATGGCCTGCTATCTTACTTATTGGGTTGGGCAAACTCCTATTCAGAATATTGCTTGTCATAGGGTAGGGGGCCCTGCGGTTGAGTTTATGGAACTGAAAAGGAATGCATTTCGAGAAATGCAATAGGGAATGTATTTTGGGTTATGGAAGGTACGAGCTGAATAATCTCAGAACGGGAAATCAACGGCGCGTTACACACGCTGAATGAATCTTGGAGGAGGAAAATGCAAATTAGCTACTACATGCGAAAATTGGAGTAGGCCAAATTAAGATGAACTACAACTAAACTACTGCAGAATTGAGCAATTTTTTCACCAGCCTCCTGCTGCATCTGTGGTCACTTTTGTTGATCCTTTGCCTCCTGTTGGCACAATCAGATAGACTGTAAATTACTGTGTGTGGAGACAAGGAAGATTCATGTCTGTGACTGGCCAACATGTTTTCAAGAGGCTCCCCATTAACTGGCAGATGTTAAGAATTAGTTATTGCTAGCTTTAGCAGAATGCAGATTATTGGTCCTTCTGTTTTGTGTTTTGTTTTGCTTTTTTTTTTTATCGCATCACATTTATATCTTACCTTGTTTCTCCAAGGAGCTCAAGGTGTCTTGCATCTTTCTCCCTGTCCTCAGTGGCAGTGACTGGCCCAGTGGGCTTCCTGGCTGAGTGGAGATTCAAACTCCGGTCTCACAGGTCCTAGTCTAAGCCTGACACCACACTGTGTTTCTTCCTCAGTATCCCATGACTGTGCTCAGGGGTCCAGCTATAGTCACTGGGTGGCTTGAACCCACTGCCCACAAGAGGAAAGGATATAGGGAGACCTTTGCTGCAGGACTTCATTGAGCTTCTGGCTTCCTAAATAGAGTACAGCTGTGTCCTACAGCAGGTTCATGTCCAAAAGTGGTGGTGGTAGATGCAGGACACGGAGTAATGCAGGCTGGAATAGGAGAGAGAGACAGTTTCAATTTCTGGAAGAAGGAATCTCTTATAAGATGCTGAGCCTGTGCTGGTCATGCTCATGATACTGTATAGAAATATTTGGATGTATCACTATATATTTTCTGTTCTGTTTTGAAGAACGTTCCTCAAGTAAAGTTCTGAACAATGCTCATGGGCCCTGGCAATGTTTTATTCCAAAAGGAGTCAGTTGCTTATGCATCCAGTTGCTTAAAGCTGCATAATATTAATATCTGCTATATTCCTGCCTCCCCCCTCAGATATATTCCAGCCCACCTGAGGACAATGCTGCACCCCCAGTGCCTCCTCCCCGGGTAGCCACTCGACGGCACAAACCCATCACCATCTCCAAGCGCCCTCTGCGGGAGAGGCCTGTCTTCTTTGGAGGCTCCGTGGAAGACAGTGAAGGTGAGTGGGGCTGATCCTGGTAACTGCTTCCTCAGTCTCCATCCTTTCATCCAGCCGCACTGGAGCTCTGTGTGTGCACCCAGCTCACTTGTTCATTTTGTTCAGGGAGCAACAGCAGCTGCTGCTTCACAAGGGTAAAAAAACCCCCAAACTATTTGCTGTAAAAAAAATTGCATGCATGACGAGTACACATCCCATAATGCTCTGAATCAGGAAGCATTATCCCCACACAAACTATAGCTGCCCCCCCCATATATACCTTTGATGGAGTGCCCTTAAAAATCTCTTTGGGGACCCACCAAGGCCTCAAATACCTGCAAATATCTTTTGTGGTTTTGTTTTAACTTGCTAGTGGTTTTCTATCTTTTTTTTAAAAAAACCCAAACAATCTCCAATGGGTTTAGCCTATTAGTCTATTAACTGTAAGAAATTCCTGCTCTGAAACATAAGAACCTAAAAAGAAGGCTGCTGCATCAGACCATTGGCCCGTGTAGTCTAGCATCCTGTTCTCGCAGTGGCCAATCAGATGCCCACTGGGAAAAGGATTTTGGCACAAAAGCACACTCCCCTCCTGACATTTCCAGCAGCTGGGATTCAGATGTGTTGCTGCTTCCGGCTGTGGAGGCAGATCATAGACATCATGGTTAGTAGCCATTGATAGCTCTTTCTTTTCCTCCCTGGATTTCTATAATCCTCTTTTATAGCCATCCAAGTTGGTGGCCATCACTGGCTCCTTTGGGAGTGAATAACTGTTACAGACTGGTTGAACGCAGAGAGGATTGGGGAGAGAAGCAGCTGGGGAACCTCCAAGGGAAGAAGGCTCAGAGTTGGGGGATTGGTGGTGGGACGATGATGAGTGGTCAGGTGGAGAAGAGCGAGAAGACTGGGAGGAGTCCTTAGCTGAAGAGGTAGCGGGGCTTAGTGAGCCGGGAGAGTCTGTGGCAGAAGTAGGAGAGGAGGGAAGTCAAGAGTCAGAGATGAGTCTGGCTGCTGAAGAAGCATGGGCGTCTCCTCTTCTTACTGCAACAAGCTCCCCTCCCCACTGGTCTCCCAGAACCAAGAGAGGCATGAAGATAGCAGAGGCACAGTCTCTGCTTCATGGGAGCAAGACCTACTGAAGAATAATTGCTGTGCTGATCCTGTTTTTGCTCATAAAGAGTTAGCTCCAACTTGGTTGGTGTGATTTACTGCTGGCTTGCTCCTGACAGTAACATAGTTTAACTGTGCTCCATGAAGAAGGGCTTTATTTTAGCTGTCCTGAATCTTCCAGCATTCAGTTTCTCCGGATGTCCATGAGTTTGCGTTATGAGAAGAGGGGAACTTCTCTCTACAAACTTCCATCATGCCACCTCTTATGTGCCTTTTCTCTAAAATGAAAAGCCCCAAGTGCTGCACACTTTTTATTCATAGGGGAGTCGCTTCATCCCATTGATCATTTCAGCTGCCCTTTTCTAAATCAACATCAGCCTTGATCCCCTTAAGTCAATCCCAGCAACGCTTTGGATCCTGGCTGGGAAAACACTGGGAGGTGCCTCTCCCTTGCATCTTGCTGATTCCGAGCTCTCAGTTAAGTGTGCTTTGTCTAAGAATCAGTGGCTTTGCAGATCCAGAGGTGCAAAGTGATTCCATTCAGTAAATGGGTCCAAAGTGCCATGATGGCTTGTTAAAAAGCACTGCGACTTCGTGCCACTGCGTGCGTCATGCAGAAACGATGGCTGGTGCTTCTGCTAAATCACTGATCAGTTTGCCACCCGGAGGGCAAACCACTGTGAGAGCCTAATTGGTCGGCAACCCAGGGAGATTCAGAGCAATAGAATGAGTCATATCCTGAAAAAGCACCAGTGGCCGCCCTCTTGTCACAGATGGATGTGCACTTTGGGTCCCCCCTCCCACTTTTTTACATCATATGAAAGGTTTTGGAGGATCTTGGCAAGGCCTTATCTCCCCACCAGAGTACTCCTATTATCTGCCAATTTTGCAAAGTGTATTGGTGGGGACGGATAAGGCGAGCTCATCTTTTCTTCTCCCTTTTCTGAATTTTCTTTTTAAATTTGGTGCACCATCGTGCCTGTTAAGGGAGCACTGGTTAATTCTTCTCCTTGTTATGTATTCAGTTGATCACCCCACCCTTCCTCCCAGAAGGGGAGCACAGTCCAGCAAAACATCAACAGCAGCAATAAGTGCATTTTAAAAACAGTTGCAGGCATTCCAAAAAACAATCACATTCCATCAAGCCAGCAAGCAGCTCCAGGGTTTGCCAGGACACTGGTGCAGCCTGCTGACCTCTGTCCCACAAAATGTCATCGGCTGATCCCTTTTAGAACAAGGAGTCCCCATAACCTGCTGTCACCAAGCCCAAGTACATGCACATGAAATGACTGCATATTCTTACCCTTCTTTGGCCCTACCTCCCTTTTATGGTCCCCGCCTCCTCTGTTCCCTTTTTCCTATCTTTTTTCCCCAGGCTGGAATTCTCTCAGGACAGGGACCTTGCCCTCTGATATATTATGGACTGCTTTGTGTAGGATCCAGGAGAGGTAAAAGAAAGTCCTCCCTCAAGCAGCATGGAGTTGGAACTATGGAACTCGCTGCCACAGGAGGTAGTGATGGCCACCAACTTGGATGGCTTTAAAAGAGGATTGGGCAAATTCATAGAGGAGGAGAGGGCTATTGATGGCTACTAGCCACATTAACTATCCTCCACCCTCCACAGTTTTTGCATGGACCTTTCTGCTTTCTCTTATCATTTCATAGCCAAGTGTGATTCATGTGCACTGTCGTTTTCACTAATCAGAAGTCAGCCCCAAACCCAACCATGGTTTGCAAACCAAACCATGGTTACAAAGTGTGGGTTAACACTCATAAATTTGGTTAACTGAAACACCAGTGAACATGAAATGTTGGTTGTTATACTTGGTCCCAAAACTGCATTATACTGGGTCAGGACATGGCTCATGTTGTTCAGTATTTTTTTACGATGATCTGCAGCAATGGCTCTCCATGACTTCAGGCAGGAGACTTCCCCAGCCCTACCTGGGAATGCCAGTGGGGATTGAACCCTAGAACATTCCACTTGCAAATCAGATGCTCTTCCATTGAGTGGTGGCAGGCCTTGGGTGGTGATGGCTACTCAAGCATGACATCTTAGCCTTCAATCACAGAGTCCTGTGAATGTGGCAACAAAACTCCATTTGAGTTTTGCCATATGTTAAGAGGGGCCCAGCAGAAGGACCAATGTGGATGTTTGTGGAAACATCATCTATCTCAAAAAATAAAATAAAAATTTGATGGTACAATGGCAGTGTTGCACCACATAGCTGAAGGCCAAGAACTAAAACGAGTAGGCAAAAATTACGTTATTGGAAAGGTTGATGAAGCACTTGGAGAATTCATTATTGCAGTTATTCGCTATTTGAATGTGTATTAACAAAAGGCTCTTATTAGCCACACAGTCAACAAAATTCTCATGGACTTCAGGTGGAGGAATAAAATCTTGCACATAGAAACCTAGCTTCATGGAGAAGCTTTCTGGTTGAACACTCTTTTACAATAACACTGGCTTTCCGCACGTAGGAATTTTTGCAAGCAGTTTGAAGTTATTTAGTCCAGGAAGGACTGTCCCGTGCAGTTTTGCTGAAGGAGTACATCTATTCCTTCATTGTCCAGCTTCCTATCCTATCTCCATGTAGTAATGACCGAGCATATGTATATTTATATGTTTTCTTTTCCTAAGAAAAGCCAAAGCTGTGATAAGCACATAAGAAAGGCCTGCTGGATCAGACCAATAACCCGGTGGCCAACCAAGAGAAACCCACAAGCAAGACGTGAGCATAAGATCCCTCTCTCCTCCTCCTCCTCCTGCTGCTGCTGCTGCTTCCAGCAACTGCTGTTCAGAAGCATTGCTACCTCCAACCATGGAGGCAGAGCATAGCCCCCATCATGGCTAGTAGCCATCGATAGCCCTTTCCTCTGTGAATTTATCCAGTCCCCTTTTAAAGCCATTTAGCTTGGTTGCCATTGCTGCCTCTTGTGGGAGTGAGTTTTCCATACTTCTGTGGGAGTGAGTTCCATACTATAACTATGCTCTGCATGCAGACGTACTTCTTTCTTCTCTGCCCCTTCTCTGCTTTGTTGGATGCCCACGAGTTCCAGTGTGATATAACCATGGCCCAAACTACATAGAATTGTGCAGCTGTCACTTAACTTGCATCTCCTCCAGTGTTTCCCTAGTAACATTTAGCTAAAGATTATGTGTTATATGATGTCTTGGCACTCCAGTTCCCAAACTCGCTGCTCCCATTTCATAGACTGCTGGTTGCATTTTTGCTAAGCATTACCAGGGACACACTGTATGTAGCAGGACAGAACTTGGTGACAGCCATTAATTCCTCCTGAAATGCAATCTCTGAGCCATGGTGAAGGCACCAAGTTTTATTCCCATGGAGCACACTTCATAAATAACTGAAGATTGTCAGCTGCGTAACTGAGAAATGATCTCCACATTGGAGAAAATCAGGCCCGACCAGGCTGAAACTTAACGCCACCTGTGAATTAAGGAGAAGAATCACATTGAAGGCTAGCAATAGTGCTAGGAGCTTCTACGTGGAATGTTATAAGAACAGCCTGCTGAGTCAGTCCAGTGTCCCATCTAGTCCAACATCCTGTTCTCACAGGGGCCAACCAAGTGCCTGTGGGAAACCTGCAAATATCATTCAAGCACATGACAAACTCCCCTCCTGCAATTTCCAGCAACTGGGATTCAGAAGAATTACTGCCTCTGACTACAGAGGCAGAGCATAGTCATCACGGCTAATAGCAATTAATAACTTTCTCCTTCTCCACAATTTGCCCAGTCCACTTTTTAAAGCCATCTAGGTTGGTGGCCATCACTGCTTCTCTGTGGGAGCCAGTTCCATAGTATCACCATGCATTATTCTTCCTGAGCCTTCCAACATTCAGCTTTATGAGATCTCCACGAGATCTTGTGTTATGGTGGGGAGAGGGGCTTTTCCTTAACCACTTTCCCCACCCCATGCATTATTGTATAAACTTTTGTCATGTCTCTTCTTAGTCATCTTTTCTCTAAAAGAAAAATTCCTCGGTGCTGTAACATTTCCTCTTAGGGGGTTGCTCCATCCCCTTGTTCACTCCCCCCCTTGTCACTGTGAGCTTGACTTTCTGGACTCAGTTGAGAACGCACGGCCCTGATTCCCGCCAGATGTTTTCTGAAATGGCTTGTGTCTATCTCTTAAGCTTGTTGGTAGGTAGGGCAACTTTTCTTCATCATGTGATGCACTCGAGACCCATGTGCTGCTGGGCCTTTATTTTGGTTTATAAAGCCCTAAACCACTCAGGGACTACATTATGTCAGAGACCCCCTTCCCCCTTGGTGTCTGCCTTTGGTCCCAGTGCTCAGTTGATGATACCTCACTGTCTGTGCCATGTGGTCAATAGAGAGGCCTTCAGGACACTTAGACTATCCTATGTAACAAAAGAAAGCTCACTCTTGTGGTGGAGGGGCTGTGATGCTTTAGGATCACAGTGTTGGAGCTGCCCTGTCATGCAACCATTTGGGGAAGTGGTCTTCCTCGAGGTAGGGGTCATTACCAGTCACCAACTCATATGAACCCTGCCTTAGCTGTGCTCTTCATCAGAAGGGATAATAAGTATCCAGTGTAAACAGCTGCCACCCTTGATTTTGGCTGCAGAACTTGAGGATCACTGAAAAGGGGTCTCTCCTCCTACAAAAGATGGGTGACATAGAAAAATGTGGGACGTAGCGTTGTCTATCCGTTGGATGCGGCACAAGCACACTGTAGAAGGCAAAATGAAAGAGAGACAGATTTGATAAATTGTGTGGCTTCCTTTTGCTGTGGGAAATCTCCCATGCCACCAAGTCATTTCTCCAGGTAGGACTTTGCAAATAAACAGAGACCAAAATCTATAAAGCAAAATGTCCCAGGAGAATGATATTTTATTTCCTCCTAATCCTCCCAAGGTATTTGTGCGGGGGGACAGGGACAAGAGATGTACATGGACTGTATCAAGATCATATATAATTTTCCTGAACACTCTTAAGACAAATAACTTTGTATTTTGCTTTATTAAGAGCCTGCACAGTTATTATACATCATAAACCGCCCAGAGTGGCTGGGGAAACTTAGCCAGATGTGTGGGGTATAAATAATAAAATTATTATTATTACATTATGCCTATACATTTATCGGGGACGCGGGTAGCGCTGTGGGTAAAACCTCAGTGCCTAGGGCTTGCCGATCACATGGTCGGCGGTTCGAATCCCCGCGGCGGGGTGAGCTCCTATCTTTCGGTCCCAGCTCCTGCCCACCTAGCAGTTCGAAAGCACCCCCGGGTGCAAGTAGATAAATAGGGACCGCTTACTAGCGGGAAGGTAAACGGCGTTTCCGTGTGTGGCTCTGGCTCGCCAGAGCAGCAATGTCACGCTGGCCACGTGACCCGGAAGTGTCTCCAGACAGCGCTGGCCCACGGCCTCTTGAGTGAGATGGGCGCACAACCCTAGAGTCGGACACGACTGGCCCGTACGGGCAGGGGTACCTTTACCTATACATTTATCAGAGATTACCTTCTTAACTTACCACTTAAGGAGACACTTTTCCATTACCTCGACAGTAGTCTCAACCACTTTTTCCATCTTACAGATGCCAGGTCACATAAACATTGGGTATTCCATACATCAGCCCTAGTCTTACTCAGACATAGACAGTGTTCCTTCACACTTCTAGCACTATGTAAATGGTACAGCTATTCCTCCGAGAATTTCAGCCCATCAGATATTGGAAGTGTGTGAAATACATTGTGCTATGTTCATCTATGTAAAATTAAAGGAAATCTTCTTTTTTTTTTAAATCATTTTTTAAGGATTCTGTCAGCAGTATTCTAGAGCTCTGTCTCCTTGGTGATTTAAAAAAACAAAAAGATTTTAAAGATTTTTTGAAAGGGGAAAGCCAAGAAATAATACCCTTTCACTATCCCAAGCCCATCTCACAACAGAACTAGCAATATAGGCAATAAAAACAGACACTTCCAATTCTAAGCTTTCAGTGCCTATTGAAAAAAATTAAAAAATTGCTCAGTAGCACCTTAGAGACCAACTAAGTTTGTTGTGGGTATAAGCTTTCATGTGTATGCACACTTCTTCAGATTGCATGCATACTTCTTCTGGGTCACAGCATTCCTAGCAAAACATAACGTGTGATAAAATAAATAATGCAGTAAAGGGACCCAAATGGATTTCTTGAAGGCCGAAGCTTGTTTACACATCATGGGAACACAAAGTTCCAAGACAATGTTCTCTGTTACACTTTGTTCTTGCCCGTATGAATTTCTGGTGGAATCAATTAAATGAGTTTAGCATTCTAATTAAGATACATAATATATATTTGTCTTTCGCCTGTTGTGGAATTTATTGCTCTTGTATTGTAATCCTGAAAAACAACAGACACACAATGTGAATAGAGCACAGTGACACTCAACATAGGAAGCTACCCTATACTGAGTCAGGTCATTGGGTGCACCTCAGTCAGTGTTGTCTACACTGACTGGCAGCACCACCTTTGGGTTTCAGTTGGTGGTGGGATGTGTCTCTCCCAGCCTACCTTGGAGATGCCACTTGGGACGCAACCTGTGGCCTTTTGCATTTGAAGTAGGTGCTCTGCCACTGGGCTACAGCTCATCCACTAAAAATAAAGTAATAGTCCAGTCTTCATGGTTCTGAGTCAAGGGCTGATTTGCATAGTCAGACCAATGGGCCCATCCAGCTTAGCATTGTCTACACTGACTGGCAGCAGCTATCCAGGATTTATGCCCTGCCTGGCAGTGCCATTGGGGTTGAAACCTGGGAGCTTCTGCTTGCAAGACGGATGCTCTTCCACTCAGCTATGACCGTTCCCTCAAGAGATCACATGCCGATACATTGCTTTCATCTGTCGAAACAAATCCTTTAAACAAGTTGAATAAATGTGGTTATTGTCTGGGTCCCCTTTAGCAGAGGATGGCTGCTTCCACGCCCCCAACGGCACAATGCTTCCTGGCTGCACAGAGGCCCCCAGGCCACTCCAGCGCAGCAGACTGCCGTTGCAGAGGCCAGGGGAGACTGATACCAGGAGGCCCAGCGCAGAAAGCAGGTCGGAGCAGTGTGCAGATGTGGATGTGGGGAGACTGGTCTCCAGGCTCCAGGACAGCGGGCAGAAGCTCCCCAGCAAAGCGGCGAATGGCGTCATGCCTGTGACAGAGTCCCTGAAGGCCTCCACACTGCATGCTAAGAGGCCTGCTCCCAGACTAGGGCCAGGCTGCAAGGAAGGTGAGTCCACGTGTTCTTTGTCACCTGTCGTCTTCTTCCACTGCAGAAGTGAATGTACCTGCCTGATGTCAATAGGAAGGCAGTTCCAGAGTGTAGATGCTTACACACACACACACACACACACACACACACACACACAATTATTTCTTACAAATTTGGAACAGGTATTATGTGGCACCTATAGCAGTGTCAATGCCTTCAGTTGAAGTGCTCAAGTGGGCATGCATGAGGTAAGGCAACCTGGCAGGTAGACTGGTCCCACGTTGCTTTGTATCCTAATAGTAACACCTTAAACTTGGCATGGTTGCAAATGGGCAACCAGTGTAGGTCTCTGAGCAGAGGTGCTATAGGCTGATAGGGTCTCACTCAGGCCAACAATTGTGCTGCAGCATTTTGCACTAACTGCAGCTTCTGGATCAGGCGTAAGGGCAAAGCGCTTTTGTTCCAGTGGTATACTCCAGAGCTTAGGGCTATGAAACAAGCTGGGGGATGGCTTGAACGCAAGTGGAGGAAAGATCTGAATGAATGCAACTGAACACTGGTAAGGGCTCATTATCTTTTTTTTTGCTTTAAATTTTTATTGAATTTTTCCATAAAATCTCTAGTCATTTCATTTTACACATCACATATTCTATTTTGTTGAACTTCCCACAACTCCCCTGAGAATCATCCAAAGTTATTCTCTTATCTACACATTCCTTATTTCAAGTATCGCTTATAAATAAATAAATAAAAATTATCCTCATTTACCATCTTGCAATCTTCCTTAAATTTCACAAAGCTTCTTTAAAACACACTAGCGTTATATTCTCCTCACATACAGTTTTCAAATACTCTCTAAATTTTCCCCAGTCCTCCAAAAACTTATGATCTCTTTGAAGTCTGATTTTTCCAGTTAGTTTGTCCAGTTCCGCATAGTCTGTTAGTTTGCTTCTCCATTCGTCCAGGGTCGGTACTTGTTCTTGTTTCCACCTTTGAGCTATCAATGTTCTTGCTGCTGTAATTGCATACTGGAAGAGTTTAAAGTCCCTTCTTTTTATTTCCTTTCTGGTTATCCCTAACAAGAAGGTCTCTGGCTTCTTTACAAAACTGTACTTCAGCATTTTTTTTAACTCATTATATATTGCTTCCCAGAATCCCTTCACTTTCTTACATTCCCACCACATGTGCATGAACGTACCCTCTTTCTCTCTACATCTCCAACATTTGTTACAGATTTTGTATATTTTTCCCAACTTAGCCGGTGTCATATACCATCTGTATACCATTTTCATGGCATTTTCTTTCAACGTTATACATGCGGTGAACTTCAGATTTTCCTTCCATATTTTTTGCCATTCTTCCAGCTCTATACTATACCCTAAGTCTCTGGCCCAATGGATCATTACCTCTTTGACTTCCTCATCCATCGTATGCCATTCCAATAAGATTTTGTACATTTTAGATATTAATTTACAATCATTATTGACAATTTCTGATTGAAACCTCGAATCTTTTTCATTATACCCTTTTTCTTTCACCTCCTTTTTAAACATATCACTTATCTGAAGATAGTGCAGCCAATCAAATACATGTTCTTTTACTTGCTCATATGGTTTTACTCTCCATTTCTCTCCTTCTTTTATCACCAGATCTCCATACGTAATCCAATTACTTCTCATGTTAATTTTTTTGACTCCCATTGCCTCTAGTGGGGATAGCCAATGTGGTACCCCCCTTTCTAATATGTTTTTATATCTGTCCCAAACTTCAATTAAAGATTTCCGGAATATATGGTTTTCAAACGATTTATATCCCTTTTTCTTCTCTTGCCCTAGATAGGCGTGCCACCCGAATCTATTATCGAATCCCTCTAAATCCAGTAATTTTGTATTTTTGAGTTTGATCCATTCCCTTATCCAACAAAGGCATGATGCCTCATAATACAACTTCAAGTCTGGCAGGGCAAATCCTCCTCTTTCTTTTGCGTCCGTTAACAGTTTATATTTGATTCTTGGTTTTTTGCCCTGCCAGATATATCTTGAAATAATTCTTTGCCATTCCTTAAAGATTTTTACACCTCTTAATATAGGGATCGTCTGAAATAAAAATAGTATCTTGGGTAGCACGTTCTTCTTTATCATTGCTATTCTACCCCAAAAGGATAGTTTTAACCTTCCCCACCCTTCCAGGTCTTTCTTAATTCCATTCCACGCCGGGACATAATTGTTTTGAAACAGGTCAATATTTTTCGGTGTTATCCATATTCCCAAATATTTAACCTTCTTAACAATTTCAATTCCCGTTTGCTGCTGTAACATCTCCATCATTGTTTGGTCCATATTTTTTGTTAGAATTTTAGTTTTTTTCCTATTTAATATAAAACCTGCCACCTCCCCAAATTTTTCCATTTCCTCTAGTACTTCCATTGCATTATTCATCGGGTCTTCCACCGTTATGACCAAATCGTCAGCAAAGGCTTTGATTCTATATTCATTTTGGCCTACTATTACTCCCTTTATTTTTCCGTTTTTCCTAATTGAGTTCAGAAGAGTCTCTAAAACCATTATGAACAGTAAGGGTGAGAGCGGGCAGCCCTGTCTAGTACCTTTTGATAACTTAATTTCTTCTGTTATCACATTATTTACTATCAACTTGGCTCTCTGTTCATTATATATAGCCCTTATTCCATTGAGAAAATCGTTCCCCATCTCCAAATATTCCATATTTTTCAACATAAAGTCCCATGATATATTGTCGAATGCCTTTTCGGCATCTACAAACATTATCATTGCTCGTCTCTCGTTCCTGGCTGTGGTAAGGGCTCATTATCAAGCCTACCTAGTGGCAGTGAAGACAGCGAAGAAGGCATCCTTTGCTGCCTCCATTGCATCCTCATCATGTCATCTGGCAGAGCTTTTCTGGGTTGTACGGGGCCCTTTACAGGCAGCCCCAAAGGAGGTGATAGAACCAATGGTAGCTTGCTGTGATTTGTTTGCGAATTGCTTGTATCCACCAAGACCTTGACTCTGCTGTTATAGCAGATGACTCTCATGGGGTGTCTAGAGCACAGTCTAGTCCTGTTGTGTTGGATGAATCTCAGTTAGTAAGGCTTGAGGATGTGGAAAAGGTGCTTGGATCAGTCAGGGCTACCACTTGCGCTCTAGACCCTTGACCCTCTTGGCTGATAAAAACCAGCAGGGAGGGGACAGCTGTTTGGGCCAGGGAGGTGATCAGTGCCTCTTTACGAGAAGGGGTGGTCCCTGCCTGTTTGGAGGCAAAACCACTCCTTAAGAAACCTTCCTTGGATTTGGAAAACCTAACTACCGGCCAGTTGCTAATTTCCCTTTCCTGAGCACGTTTCTGGAGCGAGTGGTCGCAGACCAGATCCAGGCACTTTTGGAAGAAACTTATTCTCAGGACTGCAATACCTCAAGGACCGCCTCTTTCCATATGAACCTACCTGGACCCTGAGATCATCTTCTGAGGCCCTTCTTCATGTGCCTCCTCCTTGAGAGGTCCGGAGGGTAACAACACAAGAACAGGGCTTCTCTGCAGTGGCTCCCCGTCTGTGGAATGCTCCCCCCCCCCCCAGGAGAGCTGCCTTCTGCCTTCATTATACACCTTTAGGCGCCAGGCAAAAACACTCCTTTTTAACCAGGCCTTTGGTTGCTTTGATTGACATCCTATGCCCTTTTAAAATGTGGGGGGTTTTGGGGAGGGGGGTTATTGGGTTGTTTTATTTTGATTATGTGTTTTGTGGCTTTATATTTTGGTTTTATTCTGTGAACCGTCCTGAGACCTCTGGGTATAGGGTGGTATATAAATTCAATAAATAATAATAATAACGTTGTGCAGAACTTGCTAACCAGGCTTTTGGGGTTACTGTGACCCAAGTTGCAGCTGCAGATGTTTGTAAGCAACCCGGAGGTGGCTAGACTTAATGGCAATCTCCTGTTATGGACCTTTACAGGACCTTTTTCCTCCCTGGAGCAGAATTGCAGAAAGTGTTGAGGGCACAATGCCAGTGGCATTTTTAAAAAGAAAAAAAAAAGCCCCCAGTTTGTTGCTTGGCTTGCACACCAGGCTACCAGAGTGAGAGATGAGTGGCACTGAAATATGTTCCTCTTTCTAAGTAACTTTTATTATTTATTCCTGCTTTTTCTGACTACTGCAATCTGTACACAGCAAAGGAACTTTTGCTGTGTTTCCTTTTTACCTCTTGTTGCTGGCTTTTGCATATTTTATTGTCTTAAAATTAATAAAAATGGGTTACATGCCACCCTGCTCTCTGAGTGATGAGAGATTCCAGGAGTCCCAGGCGCTTTCTCAGAGTTTCCTTGGAATGTGAGTTAGCGGAAACAGTGATGGATATGCAGTTTTATTTACACATATCTGCCACCTGAGCCTAAGATGGAACGGCTCTCAGCATTAGCACCCCAACAGATCTTTCCTCTCCATTAGTGGCAGCTTTGGATCCAGCACGGAACAAGCAGGTCTATGTTTCTCCAGCTTAGCTCACATAAGCTATGCTGGCTTTTGTTCTCTCCTACCTGACAGGTGGTGTGTTTGTGTGTTTGTTTGTTTGTGTGTGTGCGTGTGTCTGTGTAGGAAAGGCTCACCCATTAGCCTAAAGGGCACCATCCATTAGTCATAGCTCTTGCAGCCCAGCTCATCCTTTTGGGATGCTGAACATAGTGCTTAACTAGTTGGCTACAACTGTTGACCAGACAAAGGTGCTGGTTTGGTGAGCTTGCTCTCATACCCTTCACAGATACAGGAACCCAAGGATTATAAGGAACGCAGGGCATAATGCCAGCTGTCACACCCCCAACATCAAATGGAATTAAACTGTTGTAGTAAGTTGCTAGAGGAGCATGTTCTGCAGTTGCAATCAGGGCTTGACAGGTCATGCTGTTTATCATCTCTTACTGAATTCACATGGAATCGAAGTCCCTTCCATCCAGTTTCCGCATTAAGCTAATATTTATTTGAAAATAGGAGAAGTGCAATTGTGTTCT